GTCGAAGAAGGGAAAATAGTGAGTGTTTTGCTGTTGAATTTAGGATAGGACATTGAGTTAGAAGTGTCCAGTAAGTACTTTGTTATATGAGTCTGGCTGTTAGGAGCTAGAGCTGGCCTGAATTTTTAGATCTGGAAGTTATCTGTGTAGAGATGATAGTTAAACTCATGGGAATTGATAAGATCCCCAAGAAGAGTATAAAAAGGGAGAATAAATGAGGGCTCAAGGCAGAACTTTTGGGTACCCACAGATATAGATGGTTGGATATGGATGACATTCCAGCAAAGGTAACTGAGACATGACAAGACAGATAGAAGGAGAACCAAGAGAATAGTGTCATGAAAACTTGGAGAAGGCTATCTTGGAGAAGAGAGTGGTCAGTAATGTCAAATGCTGCAGAGATATGAAGGAGGATTGAGGAAAGACTATCAGTTTTGACAATTAAGAGGTCATTTGTATTGTGGGTCACATCTGGCCTAGTGGTTTACTCTGGATTGGAATAAATAAGACTATAAACCATCTAGCATTTAACAAAAAGAATATTACTTATCAGTAGCATGGAAAGGATGCTAAGCAAGGATACAACATTGGTTTAGGTAGACATAACTAACCCTTTTCTCCAAATAAAAAATATCAGATTAGAAGGGTCTGTTGGGTAAGAAAGTTATATTGACTCAAATGACAGTGGGATATTCATAAATCTGAGGAACCCTCATTCCTTTTGGGTAGGCTTTTTATTCCTTAGGTGATCAGGAAGCTACATGAACAGTTCTAGCCTTAGTCTTTTAGTCAGATTTCTTGCTTGAAAAGTCTAGTTTGAAAAGGGTTTAGAAAAGAGTGAAGGGGAAGTGGAGACAAGTACAGTCAGCATTTTTCTAGGATTTTTGCTGCCAAAGGAAGGAGAGATATAATATGATCAAAATTTGAGAGGATGGTTGGGTCAGGTAAAGTGTTTTTTTTTAAAGAATGGCAGGGAGTTTTGGTTATGTCTGTAGGCAGTAGGGAAGAAGTTTGTAGGCATGGAGATACGGTATTAGAGAGAGTGTGATAATTATGGGATCAGGGTGCTAGAAGAGACAGGAGGCGATGAGGGCAAAGTCACAAATAGAGAATTTGGCCTTGGCTAGGAGAACAGCCACCTCTTCAGAAACTAGAGCAAAGAAGTAGATGTGGGATATGAAGGAGTTTTGAAATGTAAAATAGAGGCAGGAAGGAACTTTGGAGTTCATTTTCTCAGTAAAGTTTTCAGTAAAGTTCTCTGCCAAGAGGTGAGGGAAGCCAGGTAATGTGAGAGGCTGAAGGAATGAAGAAAAATTTTGAATAACTATTGTGAGCAGTATAATAGAGAGTTGGTTATAAAAAGTCAAAAGATTGTATTATAGCAGGTATATCTTTTTAAAAAAATTTTACTAATTTATTTTGATTTATCAGTAATCACTTCCATATGCTTTTGAGTTTAAAATTTTTCTCTCCCTTCCTCCCCACCACCCTCCCCAAGACGGCACACAATCTAATATAGGCTATACATTCACATTCCAATTAAATATATTTTCACATTAGTGATGTTGTAAGTAAAAATTAAAACCAGTAGGAGGAACCATCAGAAAGAGGAAACAAAACTCAACAGAAGAGAAAAAAAATAGCAATTCAACTTCAATAGTTCTTTCTTTGAATGTGGATGGCATTTTCCATCACGAAGCCTCTGGAATGTCTTAGATCCTTGTATTGCTGAGAAGGGTTAAGTCTATCAATATTAGTCATCACACAACATGGCTGTTACTATGTACAATGTTCTCCTGGTTCTGCTCACTTCACTCAGCATCAGACCATACAAGTCTTTCCAGGTTTTTCTGAAGTCTGCCTGCTCATCATTTCCTATAGCCCAATAGTATTCCATTACATTCATATACCACAACTTGCTCAGCCATTCCCCAATTGATGGGCATCCTCTCAATTTCCAGTTCTTTGCCATGTAGCAGGGATATCTTGAAATCAGTTATCATAAATTTGCAGTGGATCCAGGGTATGTGACTTTCATAGTTGAGCAGCATATAAGAAAGAGTGGTAAAAGTAGATAGTGGAGGTTAGGGTTTGGCAAAACATTAAGTGGCAATATCGTAAACGGGCCAGAATATAGTTGAGTTTGTCAACCAGTGAGACTAGATTGGGAAAGTAAATAAAGCTATCATAAGGGTGATGGCCAGGAAGAACACTGAAGGATGGAGGGACTAGAAGTCAAGAAGAAAAGGATCATTTTCAGAGTAGTGAAGAACAAGAGAAGATAGAAAGATAGAGGGTTATGGTTAAATAGAGGAATTTCAGAGTTTGTGGTAATGGAAATGTACCACTACCAAATGGGTAGTGAGACAGAAAGTATGTCAATCTCTTTATACAGTTAAACTGTTTTTTTTATCTGTCCCTTATACATAACACCCCACATTCCATCTCCATGTACTTTCCTCACTAGTGTATAAGGTAGGCTTGCATACTGTTACAGTTAACCCTTCTACATTGCAGGGGTGAGGAGTGGGTTACCACCTTGATCTGAAAAATCCATGTAAAATTTTTTAACCCTCCCTTCATACCAGAGAAGAAGTATGAATTATTATGGTATTAAAAGATAAAATATGTTGATATTATACAATACTATGCACATATTTTATGCATTTATGCATTTTTGAACTTTTTCTGTGTCATTTGGTTGCCTTTGCATGTTGTCTGCAGCTTCTACACACCCCCAAAATTCCCATTTAATTTCTTATATCGTCCTGCAATATATCAAAACTGCATTGGGGAAAGTTGCAGTGTGGAAGGGATAACTGTATTCCCATTTTATAAATAAGAAACTCAGACTTAGTGAAGTTGTGAATTGGTCAAGGTCACACAATAATTAGTAGACTAGAAGGCCTAGCCTGGAATCTAGGCCTTCTGATTCCAAATCTAGGACATTGCTTTAAGGCCTGGGCCTTCTAACTATAGAGAGATGGAAGTATTTGGCTGAGATCATGATCATCATTATCATCATCATTATCTATTATCATTTGGTTTCAGGGAAATTATCTTCTCTTTCAAACTATATAAAACATTTTACAATTGACTGACGTGAATGGTTAATAAGTAGGGTCCAAACAGGACTGATTTTCAGCTAAACTGAGGAGTTTGTGTTTGGAGATACTTCATTTCCTACATTAACAACTCCAGTTCTAGGTTACATCACAACCTTATTACTTCATTTCATCCATCTTCTCAATTGTCTATTAACTAATCCTTGTCACAGTGTTAACTAGTAAGGAAGGTTTTAGATTATGAGAATCCTTCCTGTGTCTGCTTATATTTCTAAAAAAGGACCCTTGAGTATGGAAAAAAATCTTTAAAACCCAGGAGAATCAAGCTATGATGATGGAGTGAGAGGCAGTGGGATTGAAACATTTGAGTGGAGATCCTGCCTAGTACCAACTCAGATCTTACCATGTTAATAACCTACTAGTATCTCCTAAGAGTAGACTGATAGAAATCCAGTTTTTGTCTCTTAGTTAATATTCTTTGGCTTCCCATTGTTTTTGTCAGCATATTCTGACTTACATTTGGGAGATTGCATGATTTTATAGAAAGAGCAGAGGTGGTGGCAAAAAATAGAAACAATGGGTTCCTATCAGGGCCTGTTTAAACAAATCATGCTATTTGAATGTAATGGGATATTTCTGCAGTGTAAGAAATGACAAAATGTGAATAATAAGGAGAAATTTGGTAAGATTTGTGTGAACTGATGTAGAACAAAGTAAGCAGAAACAAGAAAACTGTATTGCCAAAATGACTGCAGTAATATAAAGGAAAACAATTCTAAATACATCATAATTCAGATCAATACAGTGACTATTCATGATTCCAGAGGACTGAGGATGAAACACACCTCACTCTTCTTGGTAGAGATGTTAGAGTAAGGCAGATGCTTTCCCACGTGTCATGAATTATTCTGCTTAACTTCTTTCTTAAAAGGGAGAGTTCTCTTGGACAGGATCAATGACAGCAATATAAAGAAAAGCATCAATACATTAATTTTTAAAATGGTCTTGGTCAGAGGACCCAAATTTGAGTCTTGACTATGCCTCTCAACTGTGTGGCCTTGGGCAAGTCATTTTGCCCCTGAGCCTCAATGTCCTTATCTGTAAAATGAGGGTAGTTATACTTATCCCTATGTCATAGGAAGGGCAGCTAAGTGGTGCAATGGATAGAGTACTGGGCCTGGAGTCAGGAAGACTTATCCTGCTGAGTTCAAATCTGGCCTCAGAGACTTACTAGCTATGTGACCCCGGCCAAGTCACTTAAACTTGTTTGCCTTGATTTCTTCTTCTGTAAAATGATCTAGAGAGGGAAATGACAAACCACACCAGTATCTTTGCCAGGAAAACCCCAAATGGAGTCATGAAGAGTGGGACACAACTGAAAAATGACTGAACTGTAATAAGATTATTTTAGAGAAAGTATATTTGTAAAACTTAAAACACTGTAGAAATGTTATTATTATAGATAGATAAAGAATTTATTATGCATTTACCATGTGCGAGACATAACTCTGTGAAGTAAGTAGTACAAATCTATCATCCTCATTTAACAGATGAGGAAACTGAGGAACAGAGGAGCAAAAAGTGACTTGTCCAGGGTTACAAAGCTAGTAAGTGTTAGAAGTGGAATTTAAAGTCCAGTCTCTCTATGACACATTGATGATAACTATGGTATAATGCTGTTTAAAACGACATTAAAAGCAAAGACTAAAAAGGAAAATAGTTTTCAAAACTTCATAAATCCTACCAACTTGACAGTTTTACTATTTCCAATATTTATTCCCAGATAAAGGAGAAACCTTTCCCAAAAGGCTGATTGGACTTCATTGGCTACTATTGATATTGCCTGACATATGTGACTAGACCCTCTTCAGTTTTCATGGAGGTTTTTGTGTTCTTTTGTGTGAAACTCATGAAGCTTCTTGCCTGTTCTTTTAGGAGCCCACAGACAACCTTGAGGACAGTCTTCTCTATTCTCGGCCTGAGTTTATAATAGGCACTGAGGGAGAAGAGGATGAGAACCCTGTTGCAAAGCATGGAGAGAACCCAGGAAATCACACTGAACTCCCTGAAAACACTGGTAGGTCAACATAGTATGAAGTTCTGGGTGGAGCAATGGGCCAACCTGAGCTTTAAGAGGAAGCATATCTAAAGCCTTGGGCTTGTTGGACGAATACAACCACCTTTTCTTAAGAGTACAAACTGAAGGGATATGTGTGCTGGTGATTAGTGGGCAATAAATAGTGCCAGGGAGAAAAATCCCGGGGAAAGGAGCAATCCCAAATAGGATGTTTTGCTGAATCAAACGAGAATTTATTGGAGTGATATTGGAGGGTATGCTGGTAATGAAATTAGATAAGAAGTGGGAAAAGCTACTATTTGAATGTGTGTATTCCAAAGCTGAAAAATTAGCACAGTCAGGAAAAACATGCTATACAGGGAACAATTGACAAGAGGGTATTTCATTTCATACTCTTACATCTGGGTTTTCAAATAGGCCTATAGTGTGATGAAGCAGATTATTGGGATGATCCACAGACCTTAATGCAGCAAGAACTGGCAATGAAAGGCTTTCTCATCCCAAATTCAACACTTACTGCGAAATTGCTTTCTTCTACTTGGGAGACAGTACCAAGTACTGCCCACAGGACATTAGGACACTAAGAACACACATATCAGCCATATGCTTTCAAACTCTGAAGTCTCATTTGAGTCTTACTCCAGGTTAAATATCCTGTTTCTTTAGTGAATCCTTGTATTATATGCTCTCTCATTCTTTCAATACCCTTCTTTGGATATATTGAATGAATGAATGAAAAGATATTTATCTAGTACCTACTATGTGTCAGGCATTGTATTAGGCACTAGAGATACAAATACAAAAATGAGATAGTACCTGCTCATAAATTCTAACAGAGGTGGTGGTGGAGATAATACTTCTAAGGAATTTGTGGCAAAGTAAGGGAGTTTTGGTATCAGGAGTCATAGGCATGGTTAGAGGAGCACGAAGACAGTCAGCGTTCTGGCTCTATGCCAGTGGTAATGGTAATATTGATTTGATTTCTGTTCCCAGAGTAAGAAGTGAAAAGGGGAAGGTAGATATGTGGCAATGAGGCAGATGGAAATAAGTCCCACAAGGTTTTGGCTGTTTGGATGGCTGGATGGAATGTAAAACATGGTCTGGGAATGAGTTAGCAGAGTTTAAATTCTCCCACTAATCAGGACAACTTAGCTTGTGTGGAATTCCAAAGTCAAATAGACTAACTTCCCCAGTGAGGAGAGTATGATGTATATGATGTATGGAGGTGCAGTCCAGAGGGTCATTGTTTGAGGTAAGGAGTAAGGGGCAGCTACCTGTAAAGTAGATGGCAAGATACCCAGGTAGATGCTAGTTTCCTGATGATTGGCTTCATGAACATTTGTATCACTAACCTAAGAACTAGAATGGAATTCTGGTCCAAGCTTCTTTAAAAGTGGTGCCTAGATTCATAATAATCATTATGATGTGTTCTGATCAAGGCAGAATAAAACACAGTTCTCACCTTTTTTGTCCTGGACACTAAATTTCTCCTGTAGTCTCTAAGATCCCCAGGACCTTTTCACAAAACTGTTGTCTAAATATGCTTTTCCTACCTATGTTTATGAAACCCAAGTGTAAAACTTTATATCTATTGCATTTAATCTTATTAGATTTGTTTCATCAGTCTCACCTTTCATCTATAGGAATTTACATTAATTTTATCTCACTAGATTTATCTCATTATAGCACTTCAACATTTTTTGGATTCTGACTTGGTCATTTAATGTATTAGCCATCTCAGTTTGTTTTATGTAAATCTTACAAGCATGCCTGACATGCTTTCATTTAAATTACCAATTAAAATATTGACTGGCATAGAGTCAAAGACAGTTCCCTAGGGATCTAGAGACTTCCCTTTGACATTGACTCATTAATGACTACTCCTTGGGGATAGTCATTCAACCAGTTCTAGATCGCCTAACCTATTTAACTTACATCTCTCTATCTTGTACACAAGGGTAGCATGAGAGATTTTTATAAAATAGTTTGCTAGGGGTAGCTAGGTGGCGCAGTGGATAGAGCACTGGCCCTGGATTCAGGAGGACCTAGTTCAAATCTGACCTCAGACACATAACACTTACTAGCTGTGTGACCCCGGGCGAGTCACTTAACCCCATTGCCTTAACAAAAAAAAAATAGTTTGCTAAAAATCCACATATCCTATGTCTATAGTATTCCTCTGATCTAGTAGTTTAATTAACAGTACAAAAAGGGAATTGGTTCAGTCTGCTATGACCTGTCCTTAATGAATTCCTACTGGCTTTCAGTTATACTGATTCCTTTTCAAAATGCTTGTAAATCATCCCTTTGATATTGTGTTCTGCAATTTTGTCATAAATCAGGCTCCTGGGCCTATAGTTTGTTGACTATTATCTTCCTTGTTTTGAAAATCATGGCAAAATTTGCCTTTTTCTCATCCCGTGGAACCACTTTCATTTTTTTTCATCTCTCAGAGATTTCCAACAATGGCTCAATGATTCATTCATTCAAAATGCATTTATTAAATTAAAAAATAAAATAGATGACAAAAGAATAAGCAGGAGGCTGCATAATTTAACAGGTACACCTGAAAATGGCTATGATATTGAAATAAAAGACATCAATAAAATGCTTATTTTTAAAAAAGGAAAAAACAACCCAAAATGCATTTATTAGGCATCTACTGTGTGTCAGGCACTGTTCTAGATACTAGAGGCAGAAAATGAAATAGTCATAAAGAAGCTTATTATGCTAGGGGGTGTTGGGAACAACTTATACCCATAAAAATGAACACTTATATATGCATATACATATATACATATATGTATATGTGTGTGTGTGTATAGAGGTGGGGAGGGAGAACCTTTCAGCCATGAGGAGATAGCCTATGCAAAGGTACAGAGACGTAGGAGAGAGGGAATGTTATATATAGGGAGAGCATGTAGGCCATTTTGGCTGGAACATAAGGGATATGATAAGGAGAAATGTGAAATCAGTTGGAAAAGATAGGCGGGATCCTGATTGTTAAGAACTTTAAATGTCAGACAGAAGAGTCTGTATTTTATCCTAGATCAAATGGGGAGTTGTCACTGAAGTTTCTTGAGCAAAGGACTTACGTGATCAGATTTGTGCTTTAGGAATATAAATTTGCCAGCTGAGCAGAGGATGAACTTGAAGCAGGGAGACCAATTAGGAAGGTATTTTTAATAGTACATCTGAGGGGCGATGCAAATGGAGAGAAGGGGACAAAAGAGAGATCTTCAGATGTCATTGAGTTGCTCTTCCACAGTTGTCCTTCCCTCCATGATTCCTTTGGCTGTTTTTGTTGAAGTTGCCATTCATGGCTTCCCACTGAGTAGTCCACTCTGTGGTCCTGCATTGCTCCACAGCTCTACTTCTTGCAGCCCTCAGCAGGATGCTTTTTCTATACTCCATTGCTCTACAGTTCTTCCAGCCACTTCTCTCCCTGTAGTTCTCAGTTCTCAGTAGATGTCACTAATTCCCTTTGCTGGGACCAGCTCTAACATCCTGTAGGCAAAGATCTTTGAAGGTTCTATCTCCTTTGTGTATATTTACAGCCCCAAACATATTTCCATGCCCAAACACTCTACTTCCTGATGTTATCTTTCGTATAAGTCTCATATTTCCACCCCTCACACAGAAGAGGTCATGTGTAGTCTGGAGTGAACATGCCTTCTTCTACTTAGAAGTAGTCCTTTCTCCTCAATTCCACTTTGGATTTTTGTTAATTACCACAATTTGTGTCTTCTCTTCCCTGGAGCTCAGGGTGCATAGCTTTTATCCAGTCAGTAGTACCTGGTTGTGTAGGGGTCTTAACCCTTAGACTTAACCTGAGGTTCAGGACCTTAAGACAAATTTTAATGACTATATTTCAATAGAATCCCATGTTTTGTTCCTTTAAAAACATTATTCTGAGAAGGGTTACATAAGCTTCACCAGATTGCCAAAGGGTGCCATAACAAAAAAAGAATAAGAACTCCTGGGCTACACTATTAGAGAGTACTTACTATTTTGCCAGTTATCTTGCCATTCTCCTTAGATATCTCTGTGGGTTTTTTCAAATTACTTGATGCTTCTTCTCTCTCTCCTTGACATTATTGCACAAAGGTCAGAGTAAGATTTGTGATTGCCAGCTATAGTTTTATTTATATTTAATGGTGGATTTGGGGTAGAACAAAGATTAAAATCAAAATGAACTTCTAAGTACATAGTGAGTACTCTTATCCATACTTAATTATCATTAATTCCATTTATCTTAACATTGGCTTTTATGAAACAACCTAAGATTGCCTCACATTCCTTTCCACAACCTCTATCCAAATGATTTTCAGTCATGGTGAAGATGTTATCACTGTCTCCTTGACTTTTCCTGTTAGTCTTTTCAACAAATCAGTTCAACAAAAACTTACGGAGCACTTGTCATTGAGGCAATGGGGTTAGTTCTAGCTATATAGAGGTAGATGTAACATAAATCTTTCTCTGGAAAACCTTATAATCTGGTGGGGGCAAGGAGAGGTGGGGAGGATGAGGGAGAAACTGGGGAGAAATGCAGTATACCCCAAGAAAATTTGATCTCAGCTGCTGGTGCCATTTCTCATCTACTTCATCCCTTATATATGTGTTTTGTATATACTTGTACCTAGTGAGTAGCAGATCTGGGGCTTGAACTATGTCTTCTGAATTCAATGCCCTTGTCACTACAGCATCTTTTTGAAAAAACAATTTAAGAAGTACTTCAAGAAGTATTTCAGGTACAAAGTACCTTTGAACCTTTTACATTTATTTCCCCCAATTTTTGTAAATGTCTATTAAGTAGGTAAAATCTAATACATTATGTTTATGTTTTAATACCACCTCTCCTCTAATTCCTCCAGATAGATATGAACCTTAATTCTGTATTTGATGTGCTAGTATTTTGTACTCTTTCTACACTTTACCATATTTTACTTTTATTGTATTTTTATGTATGTTTAATCCTCCCTACAAGATGTTAAGCAATTTGAGGACAGAAACACTGTCTTGTTAATTTTACATTTCAAACTTGTACACAGTAGGCTCTTAATAAATCAAGTTACTTCACAGCCTCTGTTTCTTCCTCATTAGAAAATGAGATCAGACTAGATGATCTCCAAATTGACCTCTCATTTTAAATCGTTTAAACCTGTAAAATATCAGTTTAATGAATATCATACCTACTGGATTAGCTCCTGGTGAGTTCAAGGAGGAATTACATTAATCCTTTGTGTAATTATTTCTTGACAGCAATAAAGAATGATACTGAAAGAAAATTTTGTTACCAGCAACTTCCAGTAACTCTAAGGCTAATATATACCATTTTCCAGGTATGCTTTTTATAATGTTGGAATATATGCATATGTTTATCATAAGTTGTAGTATTTGAGTAAAGCAGTAAACATATGATTATTTGCACAGGAAATGGCAAAGTTTGAAGAGCCTGACATTCTTTTCAACATGCTCAACTGCCTGAAGATTCTCTGTCTTCACGGAGAGTGTTTATACATTGCAAGGAAGGATTATCCACAGTTTTTAGCCTACATTCAGGATCATATGCTAATTGCAAGGTATATCTTCCATCTGAGGATTATTGTAAATCTTTGCATTTTAGATTTTGACCCTAAAAATAAGTTTTGAATATGACTTATTTGAATGTGACTCATTTGATCCTTATTTCTCAGTCAAGGAAGCATTACTGACAACTGTATCCTTCCTTATTTTTCTTCTTGAAATTAATTCTTAGTAGCAAGGGAAGGAATACTAATGAAAATTAATTAGATTCCATAGAAATGCATAAATAAATACAATTAAATTAAACATTTATTAGGCATATATGTGTCAAGCACATACTGAAGATGCAGAGACAAAAACCAAATAATCCTTTCTCTCAAGAAATTTGTAAATATAAAATATATGCAGAGTAGGTGCAAAGTAATTTCTGAAGGGGAAACAGCATAAAAAGCAGTGTGATTTAGTGGAAAAACATTAGACTTTGAGTCAGGATACTTGGGTTTGAATACTATCTGCCTATGATATTTAGCGATCTGATCATGAGAAAGTCATGAAACCTCTCTGAATCTTCATTTTATCATCTGTAGCATGAGGATAGTAATGCTTGCATTAATTCTTGTTAGAGTTGAAAGAAAAACTTTATAAGTTTGAAGTAAACATGAATTGTTATGATTGTATGATTTTAGATAAATCACTTGGTCTCCCTGAACTTTATTTTCCTTATATAAAAAATTAATAAATTGGATTATAGATGAGCTCTAAGATACTTTCTTGCTTTGACATTCTATGATTCAGTGGCCGTCCATTTTGGGAATCTGTTTAGCTTAGGACCGTTCCTGAATTCCTGCTTGCTATTTGCCAATGCACAAATATTTTCTTTAAGATTTCTGAACAATGGCTCCAAATATAGGAATAACAGGTTCCTGGCTAGAGATAGATTACGTCAAAAAAGGCTATTAAAGTGTATTTGTTTGAAATTTTGCAGATTAGACAAAAAGGCTTTTGATTGGAAGGGGACGAGAAAGAAGAAAATTACCTATGTATTTTAACCAGTTAGATATTATAGAGAGTAGCTACAATGTAGAAAGAAGAATGGAAATAGGAGAAAAAGAAATCCAAGAAAGGAGCTAGTAAGAAAACTCATAGTCTTAAGTAATAAGCATGATGAACTAGAGAGGAGGCAAATTAGACCTTATAGGTAGGTATGAATGTGACTTGCTGAGATAAGATACATGAATGTAATATGGCTTTGGAAAGATATATTTATTCAAAATGAATAGGATAGATGAAAGGGCATAGGTGACAGAGTAGTACTGTGTAAGACTATAAGAAGATAAACACATGTGAAAAAATCTGGGCATGAGAGGGCAGAGGCATGGTTGGACTAAGAATTTAGGTGAAGATTTTAGGTGAAGAAACCAGAATGATATTGAGGTGTTCTATACTGTAGCCACTTGGACAGAAAAAAGAAATAGATGAGGAGCTTTGGAGATATTATGAGTTTGGTAATAGAGGTAAAACGTAGTAGTGATAGGAGAATTCAGTTACCCGAACATTTGCTTGGACTCTGTCTCTCAGCCAAAAGTGGAGCAACTAATAGCTTCTTAGCTCCTTTTAATGATCGTTATATCCTATAAAAGGTAGAGTAACCCGCAAGGAGGATTGTTGTTCTGGGCCTGATTCTGATCAATAAGGAGAAACTGGAAGCTGAAGAGAAAATGATGGGACCTTTGGTGGCAAGTTTAGAATTTGTGATAAAGGAAAGACAAGCTCTGACATGAAATTCTAGGAGTGAAGATTTCAAAGTGGTCAGAGAAAAGATTGGTAGGATATGATAGATTCTACAGTTCTACAGTAGGTATGGAAAAATATCAAGAATGATATTCTGAAGATATGAAAAATTAATTCCAATGAGAATGCAAAAGAGATGTTTTCTAAAGAGCCCAATATTAATGTATAGGGAATTAATTGAGCAACTTATATTTTAAAGACATATACAGAAGATGAAAATAAGAGCAGGAAATTAAAAATTGAACATAAAAGCATGCTATAGTCTAATGTCAGGCACAATAAAGTTCAAAATTAGTCAAGGAATGCTAAGGATAGCAAAAACAAATTTTTAGTTGGTTTTAGCAGTGTAACACTTGCAGGCTTCCCATCACCACTAACATAGGGTCCCCTCAGAAACACCATGTTAGATTCAAAGTACTCTGTGGTTCTGCATCTACTAAAAATCCATTGTTTGCAAGACCCCACTGATGTATTTATTTTTACTAGTCACCCAGAGGATCCAACTAGTTTAAAACAAAGACATTAAATGAAATTATACAGTAAGGAGTATAGGAAGGCAAATACTGTATCGTTTTTTTTTAAAATGGAAGAGAATAGAATTTGAAAACTGTAATTTAGTGAGTGCTCTTCTTGTGGACAAGATGAAGAAATATGGATTAGATGATTTGTAAGAAACCAATTGAATGGCCAAAGAGTAATCATTGACAGTTTAATGTTAACTTGGAAGGAGATTTATGGTGGACTGCCCTTGGTCATTCAACATTTTTATCAATGACTTAGATAGACATAGATAGCATATTTATAAAACTTGAAGATGACACAAAAGCTCTGAGGAAAGGTTAACATTAGATGATGGACTCCAGATAGAAAATTGTCTCAACAGGCTAAAATGTTGGGATGATTTGATTCAAATTTGAATTAATTTGAAATGTAATAGGAATAAATGTAAAATCTTAAACATGGGTTCAAAAATCAACTTCACAAGAATAAAATGGAGAGAGATAGCCCGTAATTCATCTGGAAAAAGTCCTTGTGGTTTGAATAGACTATAAGCTCAATATGACTCTACATTGTGATGCAGTAACCAAAAGAAGTTAATACAAACCTGAACATCATTAAGAGAGGCACTATACCAAGAACAAAGGAGTTTATATTTTTGCTGGATTTTGCCTTGGTTATACAACCCCTGGGGAATTATATACTGCATTGAATAGTGTTGGACTTGGAGTCAGAAAAGACTGTTTTCAAATCCTGCCTCAGATATGTGCTAGCTGTGTGATCCTAGGCTAGGCACTTAAACTCTCTGAGCCTTGGTTTCCTCATCTATAAAATGAAGAGATTGGACTCCCTTTCAGCTCTAATGGAGGGTTCTATGAATTTTGGACACCTTTTTTTGTAAGCTGGAGAGTGTCCAGAAGAGGGTAGAGGGGTGTGCTATAACAATCAATTGAATGAACTGGGAAGTGTAGCCTAGAGAGGAGAAAACTTTTTGTTTTTGTGATAGTTGACTTCAAGTATTTGAAAGACAGCCATATAGAAGAGGTATTCTACTTCTGCTGTTTGGCTCCCAGAAGTGGAACTAGAAGTAATTTGTGGAAGTTGTAGAAAGATAGGATTTGGTTTGAAGTAAGGAAAAACTTGCCAACAACTAGATCTGTCTGAAAGGGGAATTGACTGCTTTAGGAGGGAGCAGACTCCTTGTCACTGGGTGGTCTTTAAAATAGGGGTTTGATGGTCACTTGCTGGTCATGCTGTAGATGGTGTTGGTTGGATTAGATAGCACTCTGAGCTCCTTTACAACTCTTAGATTATGTTTTTCTACGATAGTGTATCATAGTGTTCCTTGCTCTCCTTGGAACATACAAATAGGTGATACCTTCCTGAGCCACTCTAAAACAGGTATATGTAGAAGGAAGCCCATGAACTTACTGGTGAGGACAGAGAGTGAATTCTCTAGGTCATATCTTCTTTCTTTAGTTTTCTACTTGTATACTCACGTGGTACCTCACATTGCAGTATGATAGCTCAGTCAGGGTGAGATAAGCAAGTAACAATCAGATTACAAATGTCAGAGACATCCTTGATGTGGGCTTTAACAGCTAATTGTTAATGGCTCCCAGCTGGGATAGCAGCTGGTGAGACGGCACTTCAGCTGTGTGGCCTACATGATTATTGCCTGTATGCTGGTGCCCTCTCTGTCTCTCTGCCTTTGACAGCTACCTTCTGCTGCTTGAGACTACATGGTGGACATGGCTTAGAGGTGGTGTGGTGCAGTGGGAAGAACATTGGAATTGGAGTCAGAGGACCTGGGTTTGAAGCTTCATTCTACTACTTACTCCCTATGATGTGGGCCTCAGTTTCCTCATCTGTAAAATGAGAGGGCTGAACTAAAAGATCCCTAAGGTCTGTTCCAGCTCTAAAATGTTATGAGTACATGTAATTTTTGTCATATTCCTTTTTTTTGTAAACTTAAACCATTGACAATAAGTGTTATTTGCTGATGGACACAAAGCACTTGCCCTTTTTCTTGTATGAAATGAAAGCCTGTTCCAGGGGTCAAAACTCATCAGGGACTAGGGAAGCCTTCTCAGAAGAGGGGAAATTTGAGCTGGACCATGAAGGAAGTATATAGTATCTCATTAGATGGAGATGGAAGGGAGGGAATTCTAAAAGAAACAGCACAAAGAAAAGCAGGGAGACAGGAAAGTACTTTATTAGTTTTTTGTTTTGTTTTGGTGGGTCAGCTAGGTGGTGCAGTGGATAGAGTGATATATCTGGAGTCAGAAAGACCTGAGTTCAAATCCACCTGCAGACATTTCCTATCTTTGTGACCCTGGGCAGGTCACTTAACCTTGTTTGCCTCAGTTTTCTCATGTGTAAAATGAATTGGAGAAGGAAATGGTAAACCACTCCAGTATCTTTGCCAAGAAAAACTCCAGATTGGATCATAAAGAGTCAGACATGACTGAACCACAATAATTTTTTTTCAGAGTATCAAAGCATTTTGATGATGTTAATATTAATAATACCCTCATCATACTAGCACCTTTGTTTCTAAGGCTTGAAACAATCTTCATCATCTCTCTGAAATATAAGGCAGAGGAAGTATTATCTTCAATTGACCAATGAAAAAATGAGGTTAGGGAAAAAAATCAAACATCTACTATGAAAAATATTGGTAGACAGCATCAATATACTTTTTTGCCAGAGAATAGAGCCAGAGAATTCTTTGTCAGCAAAGAAAGAATAGTTACTCATTCTGTTCTGAATTACTGCTGAGCACTCCTCTTGTCCAAAAAAAAGGTCACTGGGAAAGCATCTTTATAGAAAAACGTCATATAATAATAATGATAATGATAATAATAATAATAATAATCATAACTAGCATTTACAAAGTATTTTAAGGCTTGCAAAGCTCTTCACATTTGTTAACTAATTTGATCCTCACAACAACCCTTTGAGGTAGGTACTATTATTATCCCTATTTTACAGATGAGGAAACTGAGTCTGAGAGGTTGAGTGATTTGCCCAGGGTCACACAGTTAGTAAGAGTCTGAGGTTGGATTTGAATTCAGTGTTTCCCGAGTCCTAATCCAGCATTCTATCCTCTGCACCATCTTGCTGCTTTATGTATAGTACTTTGGTTTAGGTGCTGTAGAAGATATAAAGATGAGACGAATGATAATGGCTCACATTTACAAGCTTTAAAAGTGCTTTTCTGGGGCAGCTAGGTGGCTCAGTGGATAGAACACTGACCCTGGAATCAGGAGGACCTGAGTTCAAATCAGGCCTCAAACACCTAACACTCACTAGCTGTGTGACTCTGGGTAAGTCACTTAACCCCAATTGTCTCACCAAAAAAACAAAACAAAAACAAAACAAAAGTGCTTTTCTTAGAAAAGCCCTGTGAAATATTATAAGTACTATTGTCCTTATTTCAGAGATGAAAAAACTGACTCTCAGAGGTTAAGTCCCTTGCTCAGAATTACACAGCTAGTAAGCATCTGAGCCAGGACTGGAATCTAAGTCTTCTGATCTGAAATCCATTGTTCTTTCCACAAGATCACATCCCTGCTTTCAAAAGCTTCACAGTCTAGTAGAAAAGATAAGTTCACAAATAATTATAATGCAGTGGAGTATAAGTGACATAAAAGAGGTAAGAGCAAATTGTCCTAGAAGATCAATTAAATGACAAGCATTTAATGAACTCATACTAAATGCCAGGTGTGGTGTTAAGCTCTGAGTGTTCAAAAAAGGTCAAAACTACAAAAACAATTCTTGACCTGAAGGAGTTTATATACTAATGGAGGAGACAGCATGCAAATGTATAGATACCTATGAGATATATATAAAGGGAAGGTAACTTTTGAGAAGACTCAAGTGTCTGATTATAGGAAACATGCAGCACAAGTGGTTGTATAACCTTTAGTTAAAGAGCTCTACTGAACTAACAACTTCCCAAGATAGTCCATTCAATTTTTGGATAGTTTTTATTGTGATATGAATAGGGCAGGAGTATATAACAAGGTAGAGTGGATCTCAGAAAAGTGGAGTTTAGTTATTGTGACTGAACAATGGCTTGGAAGTGGCATTGAGGAATAAAGAATATTCCTTCTGGTCCTGTGAATTGGGTTAGTGGGAGGAGTAGTCTAAGTGTCAGGAGGCACAAAGTGTTATTTCAGTTAAGGTGGGTCAGTAGAAGGACTGGTGTAAAAAGTGCATGCAGGAATGATGCAGGGGAGTTTATTCACAAAAGAACGGAAGTTCCATATTAGGAACAAGAGAAAAGGGAACTAAAACTAGCAGTAGAGCTGGTCTGGATAGGAATAAGAGCTGAGTAAGAACAGCAGAAGTGAGGAATGATGAGTAGGCAGAACTTGGTCATCAGACAAGCATGGTGGACTAATAAACCCAGCATTATAATTGGAATATTAGTGTGGAGGAGAGGCCAAGTGCAAGTACTGGTCTTGGGGCTGGAAGGCTTGAGTTCAGGTTCCAATTCAGGAACAAACTAGATCTGTCACCCTGGGCAAGTCATTTAACCTTCTGAGTCAGTTTCCTCTTTTATAAAATGGAAATAATATGCTTGTACTGCTGACTTTATAGGGGTTTGTGTCAACTTTACAGCATTATATAAACATTATCATTAGAATGTTGGAATGGTAGCGGCTGCCTTCATAAACTATTAACCCAGTTTTCTGTCTATTATACAATGTTGTTGCCTTCATTAAATTAATTCAGAAAACATTTATTAAATGCCTCCAATGAGTGCTGGATTTAGAGTCAGAGGAGTTAGATTTGAACCCCAGTTCTGCCCCTTACTACCTTGGGTGAGTTACTTCACCTCTTTGGACTTCTACTTTTTCTGCTGTAAAATTAGGGAATTGAACATAGTGACCTCTAAGGTCACTTCCAACTCTTAATCTATGATCTTATATGTAATACATTGTGCTAGGTGCTGAAATAGAGAAATAAATAAAACACCGACCTTCTCAGAGAGCTTACAGTTTAATAGGAGTTGTAAGACATGTGCAGATAAATATATTATAGGTTAGAATGTTATAACCATATAAGAAGAATACAGAGTACTATGTGTTTAGGTGAAGGATTTCTTTCATGTAAGGATTGTGGACTAGTTGGTTGATAAAGTCTCTTCCAAATCTCAAATCATGTGAATCTATTAAAAGAGTAATAGCATCTGGTGGTTGGAGAGAATTAGGGAAGGCTTCATGGAGCCGGTAGCAGTTGAATCAGAATGTAAGAGCTGGAAAGAACCTTTAAGGCCATATATTTCATACGATCATAAAATCCAAATCCAACCAAAGTCAGCACTCTGCATTGGGATAATTCTTAGCCATTGAACAAGTTTATTGTGAACTCTTTACAGCTAACTAAAGAGTTATCCCATGAAGTTAATCTTCTGAGCATAAAACAGTCCATGGTCACTATTGTATGTAGAGAATTCAAGACTATGGATCTCATTATTTCCACAGGGACAAAGACTCAAGATTGTGTTTCTCAGTGAAAAATATTATGAGGGGAATTTGTCTTTCTGATGTAAATACACATTGAGTTTAGTAAGACTGTACCTATTTTTACTCCAGATTCACATTAACCTCATGAATCTAACCAAGAATGTCCTCACAACTTCTTCGACAAATGGTCATTCACTTTTCATCTACTGGAACTGGACCTTAAAAGATGGGTAGGGTGTCAACAGGTAGAGACTAGGGGAAAGCATTCCAGGTATAGGGAATAATATACACAAACATGTGAATGTCAAAAGACTTGGGATGTCTTACAAGTTGCATATGATTTAGAACTAGATGGAACTTTTAACCCTACCCCCTAATTTTAGCCCTCAGAGGGATTAGTTGATTTTCTCACAATCATATAGGTAGAGCTAGAATTTGATCCTAGCTCTTCTGACTCTAAATCTAAGTGCTCTGTCCACTGTTGTAAATGGGGGTAGTAGTCAAATTTTGTTGGAGTATAAGATGTGAAATGGAAATATGAAATTTGACTAGAATGAAGATTAATCTGGAGAGGGGAGACTATTATCACCTAGGAGAGATCACTTAGGCCATTGCTATATTTTATTTATTTACTTACTTTTGGTTAGGCAATGGGGTTAAATGACTTGCCCAAGGTCACACAGCTAGTAAGTGTCAAGTGTCTGAGGCTGGATTTGAACTCAGGTCCTCTTGACTCCAAGTCCAGAGCTTTATCCTCTGTGCCACCTAGCTGCTCCGGCCATTGCTATATTTTCTACAGTGTACTTCTTCCCCTGTTTAAAACAAAGGGCTACAGGGAATAATGGGAGGGACCTGCAGGGTAAGAGAAGGTTTCATGGGGGAAGTGGCATTTCAGCTGGGCTTTGGGGGATGGGTAGGAAGTTAGCAGTTGGAATGTTGGGGCAGAGCATTCTGGGTAGCAAGAGAAAACATGAGTAAAATTTGGGAAGTAGGAAGACTAGGGTTGTGTTTGGGGAAACGTGAAGTGTCCAGGTTGACTAGAACATGGCAGTCATAAAGAGAAAAGTGGAAGAGAAGACTGGAAACATGAGTGTAACTTAAAAAATCCATACCAAGCACAAGCCATGTTTATTATAAATGATAGCAATGTTTTGAAGTTTGGTATTCATTCATTCACTTAACAAATATTTTCCAAGCACCTACTATATACAAGGCCCTTTGCTCAGCACAGGGAGGAAATAAAAAGAACCTCTTCTCAATCACAATCTATTGTGACATTGGGAGGAAAATATGAAGGATTATGATACAAGAAAGGGAAGTATAAAGGGGAAGTACATACAGAATGTTACCTCACAAGGTTGTTGTGAGGATCAAATGAGATTCCATATGTGAAGCACTTTACAAACCTTAAAGCACTATATTCATGTTAGCTATGAGAAAATTTTTGGTAACCAGAGTATGTTTTCCTTTGGTCTCCTAGCCTATGGAGAGTCATCAAGTCTGAATTTTCCCAGCTCTCTTCACTAGCAGTTCCTCTCCTTCTTCATGCTTTGTCACTTCCTCATGGTGCTGATATCTTCTGGACAATCATAAATGGCAACTTCAATAGCAAAGACTGGAAAATGAGGTTTGAAGCAGGTACTTTTCTACTAACTTGAGGTTTATCCTGGGGGCAGAGGACGTCAAAAGAAACAAGTGAGCTGCATCTACTTCAAGCAGTGAAACAGTTTATTAGAATGTAATCATTATATTTATTATTGGTCCTCTTCTCCCTCATTTTCAAAGAACCTTCATCTCTTTACTAATTTATCTGCTTGCTCTGCTGACTAATAGCAGGTGGAACTTCTGCTCTTCATTGTTCCATTGTAAGGCACCTAGTGCCAGGTTTTCTGTGGCTATCAATCGAGTTTGATTTAGTTTGATTCAATTCAATTCATTGTAATTCAGCAAATATTTATCAAACATTTATGTGCAGGACTCTTTCTAGATATTCAAATATGAAAGATGAAAGTCTCTGCCCTCAAGGAACATATTATAGGGAATATAAAGAATAAATAATCTTATAGGGAAAGTGGGGCTGGGATAAGACATAGTGCGTAAACAATTAATTATGATACAACATAGAATGTGATAATGGCAAAAAAAGAGGTATAGATAAAGGGACTTTACATACATTTTCCCATTTGATCCTTATATCTCACACCTGTTTCCAAAAAGAAGATACTAAAAGTTATAGAGATAGAGTGGGCCAAGGTCACACAAATAGTAAATAGCAGGATCAGGTATTAAAATCATGTCTTCTGCCTTTAGGTTCAGTGGGTCCTCAGCAATATTTCATGTAATGATCAAAATCATGGTGAAAAAATTTTTAAGAACTATTCAAGGCACTATGGATTGTATAGATTAATAAGAGCACCCACCTCTGATCTCTAATCTAATGGTGGATCCATTATCTGAAGGAGCTTATTGTCAGTATCTCTTGATATGGTTACAAAACACTTTTGTCTGTATTAACTCATTTGATTCTCACTTTCAGTCTACTGAGCAAGTATAAGTGTGCGAAATTTAAATAAGAATAAAATAGTAGAGGATACAAAACTCTACCTAATAATTGTGTAGACAGAAATTGTTATGAGAGTTCAGAAGAAGGAGAGAGGATTGGAGTTGGTGTAATCAGGAAAGGTTTCCCAGTGGAAGCAGGATCTCAATTGGTTCTTGAAAGATGGGTTGGATTTAAGTGGACTCACAGGAAAGAGGGAGGGCATTACAAGAAGGGAGATAAATTTGAGAAAAATCACATTATTCAAATTTTATAGGGGATCAAATGAAATATATGTAAAAGTGTTCTGTCACCTTAAAGTAGCGTAGAAATGTGGGCTGTAACAGTGTAACAGCCCACATTTCTATAGCTCTTTAAGGTTTACAAAGAACTATCTTCACTGCAAACTTAAAAGATTAGAAGTATTATTAGTTCCATTCTGCACTGAGGAAACTGGATCCCATACATCTACATAATCTCTATAGAATCAATTAGCCAATCAACAAGCATTTATTATTATTTACTCTCTGCCAGGTACTGGGACTACAGTGACAAAAATAATAGTTTCAATATCCAAGGAACTTATATTCGACTGGGTGGGGAACAACATGCGTACATACAAGTAAACACAGAATATATACAAAGTAAACATAGTGTAATTTTGGTAGGAGGAGATATGAACCATTCAGGGAATCAGGAAAACTCTCCCTCTAGAGACTCTTGAGCTGAGACTTAGAGGAAGCTGGGGTTTCCAGGGGCAGAAGGGAAGAGGGATCATTCCAGAGAGGGGGCAGGCTGTGAAAAGGCATAGACACTTGAAAATGGACTATTGCATATGAGGAACAGTAGGAGGCCAGTTTGGCTGGAATGTAGAGTGCAGAAAGAAGAATAACACACAGTAAGGCCAGAAAGGTATGCTGACCTGTCAACTGTGCCATACTAAACTTTGTTGTGCAGTGGAAACATGGGCTCAGAATTTGCTCTGAGCAAAATTTACTCATATATTCCCCCACATCTTGTATAGATTCCTGTGTTCCTCTCCTTGTCCCACTTCAGGGTGCTCCAGCTTCTTGCTCCTTTCAAAGACCAAGTCAATTGCCACCTCCTCCATCTAGCGTCCCGGACCCTTCCCCCTTCATCTGGCCTTTGTCTTTCGCAGATCCCATAGGGGAAGGGTTCGTTTCCTCCTAGAGCTTCCTGAGACCCTTGCTCTTACCACCCTCTCCTTGGTGTTCTAGTTATTTTGAATTGACCTTCCCCCAATCTCCAGACCTTGTGAGATTGGGAGTGCCTTGCAGGGGGGCCTTTTGCATAACAAGCAACTAAATAAATTAGTGTGAAATTTGTTGTTGAATTCTTAGAAAGATTTATTTTATTTTTTACCTCAAATGTAGTGGTTTGGGGTATATGATGCTGGGAAGATATTTTGAAAATCTAGAAGCCAAGAAAACAACAGCAACAATAAAAAACAAGAGTGGCTGCCTTTAAACACATATCAACTAATTCGATTCAATTTAACAAATATTTAGGACATATTGCTCAGCACTGTGCTTGGTGCTTGAGGAGAAACATTTTAAGGCATGTTCTCTGCTCTCATTGAGTTTATAGTTTAATGGGGAGATTGTCACGTACACAGATAACTATAAAACAATTATTTAGCTAACCATGATTCACATTTATATATCACTTAAAGGCTTACAAAGTGCTTTCCTCACATCTGTCCTGTAAGGTAGCTAGAATATTCATAATATCCATTTTACAACTAGAAAGTATAAGATCAAGGCAGAACTCAGACCCAGTTCTCTTAACTCCAAGGTTAGTGCTCTTTCCACTATACCACAGTTATCAGAGTAGTGTTATGTGTGACCTGAGGGTAAAAGGGTGATTATTGAAAAAAAAATGTTGAATGCTTCATGAATCTGGGCCACATAAATTAAGCTGAAGAACAAAATTGCAACAACAAACCAGAAATCCTTGGGAATAAAAAGATTGCCCTGTGTATCTTATTCCACAGCTGAATTAGAAAAGTAGAAAAAGGCAGAATCAATTTCTTTTGATGTTTAAAGTCAGTGTTTGGGGGTTGCTTTGGGTAATATCTGGTCTCTGTGTGCAGTTCTTATCCTATGCGAATCAATGCCAACATTCTCTTTGTCCTGTTCCCCTTACATTGCAGTGGAGAAAGTGGCAGTCCTGTGCCGGTTTCTGGACATTCATTCAGTGACTAAAAACCATCTGCTGAAGTACTCTTTGGCGCATGCCTTCTGCTGCTTTCTGACAGCTGTAGAGGATGTCAACCCTGCGGTGGCTACAAGAGCAGGGCTCTTGCTTGATACCATAAAGAGGCCAGCTTTACAGGTACCTTAATCGGCACACGGATTCTCCACTCTTGATCATGTGGGACAGATTTTCACAGAATCAGAGAATTTCAGAGTTGGACAGGACCTCAGAGGCCTTCAAATACAACCTATCCTGAACAAGAATATCTTCTCCAACATTGCTGATGAATGGTCTTCAAGGCTTTGCTTCACTACTTCCTGTGGGGATAACATATTAACTAACAAGACTGTCCATTCCATTTTCAGATAACTTTAATTGTTTGGAATTTTTCTTTCCTCCCATGGAGTCTATATTTACCTCTCTCCAACTACCAGCAATTTCCTTGAGTTCTGTTCTCTGAAGCCAAGTGGGACAAGTCTAATCCTTTTCTACATGACAGCCTTTGAAATACTTGAAGACTACTATCATGTGCTACCTAGGTCTTCTCTTCTCTAGGCTTAACATCCTCAGTTCCTTCAGTCTATCCTCTGTCATATTTTCCAGGCCCTTCATCATCCTAGATACCCATCTCTGGATGTTTTCTAGCTTATCAATTTTCCTTCTGTAATTTGACACACAGAACTGAACATCATATTCCAGATCTGATCTGATCAGGGCAGAATTTTGGAAACTGTACCTTTTTCGATGTAGCCCAAGATCACATTAGCTTTCTTAGCTAACACGTCATACTATTCACTCATATTGAGCATGTAATCCACAAAAAACCCAGATCTTTTTCAGATGAATGGATATGTAGCCATGCCTCCTCTATCTTACTATTTGCAGCTTATTTTTTGATACCAAGTAAAGAATTCATATTTATCTGTCCCTATGGCATTTCATCTTAGAGTTGGCCCATTGTTTTTAGCACATTGAGAGCTGTTTGGATCTAGATTCTATCATTAAATCTATTAGCTATCCTTTCATCCTAGGCAGGTTTTCCCTGAGGCCACTTAACCTATTTCTATGTTGATTACCCCTCTTATTAGATAGTAAGTATTAAGGAAAGGCTTACCAATTTTACTTTACAAAACAACTCACATTCACAGTTTGCAGTTAAATAGCACTTTAAGGTTTATAAAACTTTTTCTTCATATCAGAGAAGTAAAATTTTTTTTTGGAAAAATAATAACCTATTCCACAGTTAAAAAGGCATAATGTTAGAGCTGCAAGTGATCTTTGAGATGATCTAGTCCAATCCCTTCTTGGGGATGAAACCCCCGGATGAAGATGAAACCAAAGCTTGAAGGGATAATTACTTGCCTGAAGTCATATAGCTAGCAGAGTCAGGACTAGGACCTAGGTTGCTGGATTCCTCGTCCAGTGTTTTTTTTTTCCATTATACCTACCACTAGATGATTTTCAAAAGTAGGAAAACCATGGAATCTGCAAATTATAGACTAACAAGTGTGACCTCAAGTTCTTGAAAATTCACCAAGATAGTTTACAAAGTAGTAATCATGAAGATGGCTTCTTTGAGAACCAGTCAGTATCCTGATAAAAATAACTAAGGTTATTTCCTTTTCTTGATAATATTACAATACTGAGTGTTCAGGGGGCATCTGTAAATATAGTTTACCTAGATTTTGGAAAAGTATTTGATGAAGTCTTTCAGGCTATCTTTGTGGACAAAATGGAGATATGTGGACTAGGCAATAGAATGGTTGAATGACCAGTGAAACTGGTTGAATCACTGGAGACCCAAAGTAAACAGTGACAGATCAGTTTAGCAAGAGTTCTCTAATGAAGTCTTCCAAGGATTTGTGCTTGGCACTGTGCTGTTCAACTTGAAAAAATTTAGCGACTTGGATGAAACATAGATGTTATACTTATCAATTTATCAGATAAGATGAAACTGTGAAGAATAGGTAACAAGGTAAATGAAAGCACCAGGATATATAAAGATCTAGAGAAGCTAGAATGATGGTTCAAATATAACTCGATGATATTTAATAGGAATAAATGTGAAGTTCTATGCTTGGGCTAAAAAAAATCACTATCATAATTATAAAATGCAGGAAGATTGATAGATATGAAATTCATATGAAAAATATTGAGGTTTTCTTGTGGTATACAAGCTCAATATGTCAATAATGCTATCTGGCAGCTCATAAAGCTATTTAAATGTTAGGCTAAATTAAAGACACATAGTGGTCAGAACATGGGATGAAATAACCCCAATCTTCTGGGCCCTGGAAAGACCCCATATGGAGTTTTGTGTTCAGTTCTGGTGCCATGTTTTTGTGTTGATATCGATAATCTATAACTTGACCAGAGGAGGTTGTCTGGGATGTTGAAAGAACTGGAGACCATGAAGAATATGGGTTGTTTTATGCTGGAGAAGAGAAGACTTAGGGAGATATGGTAGCTTATTTTCAAGTATTCAGAGACCTGTAATGTGAAAGAGACTTTGGCTTCTTTTGCTTTGCCTTAAGAGCAGAACTAAGAGCAATGGGTGAAAATTAGAGAGACAGACAGGCTCCATTTAGGAGGTGATATGAATTAGTAAGCAGGTCGAATCTAGCCTTAGACGTTTGACTAGCTATTTTATTTTGGACACATCTTACCCTGAGCAAGATTGTTATTTTATCTGTAAAATGATAACAGAACCTACCACATATAGTTGTGATTATCAGAGGAGATAGCGTATGTCCAGTACTTTGCAAACTTTTAAGTGACATATGAAAGTGAACTATTATATATAAGGATATTTTTTCTAATAATTAGAACTGCCTGAAGGTGGTATAACCTGCCTTCATTAGAAGTCTTTGTCCTTTTTGGGTCTTCGTGGTCCAGCAGCCACATGTAGTCCATAACATTCCTGACTGACTCTGAACCAGACTAAAATCTAATTGGGAAATATTTAACAAAATAAATAAAAACACAGTAAAATATAGATAATGTTTCTATGTGGTTTTCTAAGTCAATAGGAATCCTTATATATGGTTTAGTGGCTCTTGTTTGTGTTTGAGTTAGACATACTGTTGTAGAAGAGATTTTTGTATTGGGATGGATTGGAATTCATGGCTTCTGAGGTTCCATCTATTTCTGTGATTCTGATTCAACAACTTAAGGTACCTAAATGTTATAGTGAAAGAAGAGTGCTGAACTTGGAATTAGGACTGTCTGAGGTTGAATCTTACTTCCAACATTTGCTAAATGTGTGATTCTGGGCAAGTCATTTAACCTCTTAGTTACACACATGTACACACACACACACACACACACACACACATACACACACACCCATATACACACACACCCATACATGCACCCATACCATTGACAAGACCAGAACTAGAACCATGGATTCCTGAGTTTAAAGTAGAAATTGTAAAGCATGAAATATTAAACTGTATAATTTGGAGGAATGAAGAAAGGGCATAGTAATAATGATGCAGATGGAAACTGAGAGAGAAGGAACCTCCCTTTTTTTTTTAGGACTTCATGGTACCATACCAGAAATATTAAGTAATTTTGATGGGATGAAATTATCTGAGTTGCCTAAAAATCTGGTAAGAAGCAAGAAGGGCCTAATTTCCATTCAGACATGGTGCTGGAGCCCTTTGACCACAGGAGACATTCTATATGTGTAGGGGAAGATTGGGCATTCTTTGGTAAGGCCTTAATGTATCTTTGTAATAGAGACTGATATTTTCTTCTTCTGGACAGGGCTGAAAATGTTGGCCCAAAGTACTGACATTGTTTTATTCCTCTTCTGTGTATAATAGGGAAGAAAATATTCATCTAAGTTCTCTAATCCATGTGTCTGAAGTCATTCTGCCATTGGACTGTGGGGTTCATATAGGATTAGGAAAATCCACTTTTCCTACCTTGAAAGAGTAGAAATGGTACAGGAGAGTTGTTTATCTCCACAACCCCCATAGGGTGCTATTTCTGTCCATCAGATTTTAAAGGGCAGAATTAGGCCAAATCTGCCAAATTGCTGGCAGACTTAAGAAATTCTGTAACCAGTCAAGTAGCCAAGGTTCCTAGCAATAGATGACCGTTATTGTTCTTCTCTAAGCTCTGTCTCAGCTCCTTACCTGCAAGTCTCTAACTACAACAAAAACAACCCCCAAACAATTTTATTATTTTCTATTTGATCCTGTCCAGAAATAAGTAGATGAGCTTAGATGACCTCTTAAATACTGGGGAAGTACCTGGTTAAGGCCTCATCTAACCCTGATCATATTTGCTTTATTTTTCAAGGAGGAAGAATCATTTTAAGTTCTTTTTTTAATGAAACTCAGATTATTTAAAATTAGTTATACAGAAGATCCAACTAAGGGAAATGAGTGGAGCATTGTTCCTTTATAAGGTTGTTGAAGCAGCTTTGGAGTAGTGAAAAGGATACAGGATTTGGAATTAAGGGAACTGGGTTTGAATCCCATCTCTGATATTTACTAGCTGGGTGACTGTGATCAAGCCACTCAACCTTTCTGAGCCTCAGTTTCTTTATCTGTTGTGAGGAAAGCACTTTGTAAACATTATAGGACTATAGAAATGTGATATTATTATTGCTGAAACCTCCGTTTGGAAGCATATTGCTCTGATGATAGCTGGAGTAGGAGTCAGGAAGACCTGAATTGTAGTCCTGCCTCAGACATTTCCTATGACCCTGGTTAAGTCACTAAACCTCTGTCTGCCTCAGTTTCTTCAACTGCAAAGTGAGGATAATAACAGTACCTACTTCACAGGGTAGTTGTGAGGATCAAATGACATAACACACATAGGCCTTAAACCATTATAGAAATGTGAGCTTTTATTAGTATTATTGTTGTTATGGTAAACTAAGCACTAGAAAATGAAACAGGCTTCATTGATTAGAAAGTTTACTGATTGATAGGTTAATCTATTGAGCAGGATATAAAATTTGTAGTAACTTATTTACACTCAAATTTCTGTGATTCAGACACTGAATATACCATATCTAGGAACCAAGAGAACTCAATCATACCTGCCTTGCACAAATCTGGTCACAATCTAGCACATATATATGTAATGCAATTTTATGTAGGAATGTTACGTTGATGGAGATAGCAACTCGAAGCAAAATGGTCTCTGCTTGTAAAGCAACATCTACAGCACACACACAGTTCATATTTTATCAGAATCAGAGCCAAAATTAGATTTGGACAAGGTTTTTACCTAAATTGTTTCCTTATAAAATTTTGGAAAAGTCTTTCCAATTTGAAATGTCGTTTTCATGATCAGAAGATTCATGCCTCCTTTGGAGGCGAGATGGCGCAGTTCAATAAAATACTAGATTTTAGAGAGTTGGGAGCTGTAGGTTCAAGGTCTGGCTCACTGTGTGACCTCAAGGACATTACGTTGCTTCCATGAGTTCTGTTTGAGATAGATGATTGTAAGCTTCTTCTTAATTTTGTGATTCAAATATAGTAGAAAGGGCAAGAGGCTTGGAGTCACGAATCTTGGCTTTGAGTCCTGGCCATGAGCTAGGTGTGTGATCTTGGTCAAGTCACTTCTTTTCTCTGAACTTCACTGTCCCCATCTATAAAATGGGGATAATAACACTGGCACCATTTACTTCATGAGGAACAAATGAGATATAGTACAAATAAAGTGTTTTGTAAACCTTAAAATATTGTTATCCCTGCATGTTAACCAAAAGTTCATATCTGTTATTTTTTCTTTTATTCTCTAACAGGGCCTATGTTTATGCCTTGACTTCCAGTTTGATACAGTTGTTAAGGATAGACCTACAATTCTTAGCAAGCTTTTACTCCTACATTTTCTAAAGCAAGATATACCTGCATTGAGCTGGGAGTTTTTTGTTAATAGATTTGAGACCCTTTCCCTGGAGGCTCAGCTGCATTTGGATTGCAACAAAGAGTTTCCTTTTCCAACAAGTAAGTATAGTAGAAAAATGAAATCTTAAGGGGGAGCTGCAGTTCATATACTTGAACAAGTCAGGATGAGGAGAGGTCCTCTTGCATGTAGTTTCATGTCTTGCTATGGAGGGAATGTTGAGTCTGTCTTCCTAAGGTCTAATGATACCCTAGTGCCCTAGTTTTAAAATGGTCCTAACTCATTGCTGGTACTCTTGTCCTCTCCTCTAGAGCCCCAAATCATTTCATTTTGTGTCTGCATCCTTTGCATTGTTTATTCATTGTGCTTAGATCCAAATTTTGACCTTTTAGTTAATGAGTCGTGCATGGGCAAATTTATAAGATGTGCCCTCATCCCATTAACCCATTGTTACATGTTTACAGATCATTTATCTGCATGATATACATTAATAATAATCTGATGCACATTTGGGGGCACCCACCTCTGTGTTTATATATACATTTATACTAATATTTGTCCTACTGAATTAAAAAAAAAATTAGATGTTTTGGTCTTAAGGCCTAAAGGTAAAAAATCGTAGACCAGACATGAATTCCCTGCCCCCCCAACTCATCATAGAAGTGTGCATCCCACATGATACATGAGAAAGATTTTTTCAAGTAATCACACAACATATATACATTTACCTTGTGTGAAGATTTTTGTACAGTGGTACAGACTGAGGAAAATGATAACTTCTTTAATTCTATTTGCAAAGCGATCACTGCTGTAAGGACCAATGTTGCTAACCTCAGTGATGCAGCATTGTGGAAGATCAAGAGGGCTCGTTTTGCAAGGAATCGCCAGAAAAGTGTGCGTTCCCTGAGAGACAGCGTGAAAGGGCCTGTGGAATCAAAGAGGGCACTATCCCTTCCTGAAACTCTAACCTCCAAAATTCGTTGAGTATCTTCTCGCATCCTATTGATAAAGCCTGTGTAATGTCTTTTCTGAGGCTTACTTGTTGTGTTTTTAACGTTCACAGAGAGTGAGTTGCTTCTTTGGTCAACTGAGCTGTTTATTTTTTGTTTGTTTTTTGTTTTTGTTTTTTTAGCAGGCTTGGCTTTCAGGTTTCCTAAAAGATCAACCCTAATGTGCAGAGGTTATTCTAACCAGTTCTGGGCTGCCCTGGTTATTTGACTGTGGCAGAATGCTAACAGAAGCATTTGGGGGTGATGGAAGGAGAGTTCTTAAACAAAGAAGGCCATGGTCTTTCCTGGCCACTGTTACCCCAGAGCGAAGCAATTGTTAGAATGGGATTCCAGGCTTTGAGTTTTCTGTTTCTAGTACAGTAAATGTAAGAATTAGTTAATTGATAATCAGCACATCTGCTAAATCCGTCATACCAGAACTGGGAATGAATAAAATGTTACAAATGAGCTTTAGAACATGTTTTTTTTTTTTACCCTGCCCCCTTATAGAAGCATCTGAACAAGCCCCCAATTCACCCACCAAATCATAATCATCATCATATTGCTTCTCTGAAGGGAAAATCAGGCTACAGGAAAGTTGGAGTCCTACCTCTCTCTCTCTCCCTCTCTCTCTCTCTTTCTCTCTCTCTCTCTCTCTCTCTCTCTCTCTCCCTCTTCTTCTCCCTCCCTCTCTCCCTCCCTCTCTTCTCCTTGTTTAAAGGTCATTCTTTATAGTTCATTGCTTTAGAAAAGTAGAAGGAAATCAGAATTTTCCCTGTTTTAATAAATGAGGAGAAAAACACTAAGAAGCAGAAATGGCTCCTGCATGAGAAATGGATAAAAGCCCATATCCCATAAAAGAATGCACATGTTTTGCTATATTGCTATTTAATTTGTTAATTGTTTAGCCCTATCTAATCCCCAAATAATCACAGTGAAATCAATGAAATACCTCCATATAACACATTTTGGATCCTATCACAAGCTGAGAGGTTTAATTTGACATTGGCATTCATGAGTAGACAGCTTTTTGTGACATGGCCATTTTAACCATAATTATGATTTAATTTTTGTCTTTTCTTTACATCTTGATTTCTTGATTTTATGATAAGCTATGAAAATGTGGTACTTTTTCCTTTGGGAGAGTCCACAGAGTTCCTTGGAATGATAAATAGATTTTCTCCAGGGCAAGGGGTGGGATGCAAAGAGGAAGCGGATAGTCTAGAATTTTCAGCAGAAGGAAAACCACTTGAGCATAAGCCCCAGGGATGCTAGACCTTCTAATGAATTCAGGTGAAATTGATTTGGATCCTAAAAGCCAGCAGCTGTAATCAATGATCTCATTTCATTTTAACAACTTTTTTTTAAAGCATTTTCACAACTTGCAGACTATCTCCAATGCGGCCCCTCCCCCTCAGTTGTTTCCTTGTATTATAATGTTCATGACAATTGGTAATGAGGCTGGAAGTCAGATTTCTTGTTCTTGTGAAGCTCGGAGATACCATTCTAATAGCCTGCATAATAGTCTGATGCACAGATACCCACTACCTGATGTTAATGATGAATAGGAAGAATGAATTTGTCCTTACTGTCCAGTGTAGCTTTATTAGCATTGAGTATATTTTCTAGGCTCAAGTTGTCTTTATTGCTTATTTAAATAGAGTTGTTGTTGATTTTTAAGCTGTGAGGTTGACCAGGCATGAGCAGTCTGCTCCAGCTCTCGGTGGGACACCTGAACAAACGCCAGGTGGGTACTTTGGATGAAGGACTGTATAAACATATTGGGCACATTATCTGGCTCATGTAAACAAGATAAAGGGTGTAATATCTTTAACTGGGCCAAGAATGATCATGATGTTGCTAAGCCCCAAAAATTCCTACCTCAGAAATTCAGATACCTGAGCTCCTGAGGTTGGAACACTTTAGATTTGAAAGGTAATAGCCGTCCAGTGATTTTTAGTCCAGTAAGGAGCATCATGTTATTGGCCTTGTGCACTTTTCCCAAGACAGTCAATGTAGCTACTGTTCCATCCTATGAATATATATGCGTATGTACATATGCATGTATATGTACATAAGTACATGTGTGATATAGCTCTGCTCTAGGAAAGTATACATTTCATTTACATTTTAAAAGGTCTGCACATTTGAACCACCTCCGTTACTACCTCCACATCCACCTAGGAGTCAGCGATTGGCCCATTCCTAATCCCTTGAGAGTTTCTCGGCTGTCATTTCTGTCTCTTGAAGAAAGGAAGAATTCTTTTGAATGATTAGTATTGAATGACTAAGGGATCATACTCAGAGTGGTACTGTCTCTCATCTGACAGGTCATAGTATATTTCAATATATGAGGAAGTATCCTGAGGGTTAAAGGGATAATGGTAAGTCAATCCCATGTTGAAGTTTGGGGGCTGAATATTACCCACCTGAATGCTTAGGGAACTTACTGAAAATTGTGACAACTCCAGATACCTGCTGAATTCACTCTATCTCCCAGTTAATGAACACTGATTAAAAAGTGTTCAGTGACCCCTATAGAATCAGAACCACAAGATAGAAAGCTGGAGAAGGCATAGATATAATTTAGCTCAATACCCTCATTTTATCAATGAGGAAACTGAGCTCCAGAGAAGCTGAGCCACTTGGCCAAAGGCCCACAGGTCAGCATCATGGCATAGGTCGTATGTCCATTTATCTTCCAGAAGGATCAGAGGATTTTTTAAAAATGCCTGTGCAGGACTGTTCTGGTAACTTGAGAGCTCATGAAGCATTTTCTTCATGACTTATGGTGATATTAGTGGCATAAGTGTCATTTTTTAGAGGATAAAAATTGAGGTTCAGACAGACAGAGTGACTTGCTCATAATTATAATTAGGAGGTGTTGGAGTCAGGATATGAAGGCCAGACTTCTCTCTACTCCAAAGCCCTCTCTCTTTGTGCTTTGTCACCCTACTTTTCTACATGTGGCCCTTGTAGAAGGACCACATTAGACCTGGGGACATAAAATACCATGTATTTTGAACTCAATGAGGAAGAGGGAGAAACCTGTATGTGAGGTTCATATATGTAAATTGCAAATATGAACCAAAGTACATTTTTTCTTTTTAAATAAAGGATAAAAAACAATGTATGTGATTTTAAAGAAAGCCTTTGTCAGAGTCCCTCCAACATAATACTCATATTATTGCACTGGATATTATAATATCATTACATTTACTTTTATGTTCTTTTGTGATTAAATGGAATGAAAACCCCCAAACCAAATATTTAGAGACGGAAGAAATTTTAGAGGTCATCTGGTCAAATTTACCTCATTTTACATAACAGGAAATTGAGGCCTAGAGAGGTGAGATGATTTACCCAATTTCATACCAGTAATAAGTAGCAGAGGCAGGATTGAATATGGAAATTGTGTGCTTCCAAAGCCAGCCCTTTCCCACTGTATCACAATACCATGCTTATTCATTAAGAACTGGAGTAGAGTGATTGCTCCTTCAGTTAGGCCTTTAGGGGATTCTGTCCCTTTTCAGTGTGGTGCTTATCTCATATTACACTTCACATTTACAGTCTTAAGGCTTTACTGGAAACCTAATCTGTTTTTAACAGATTGACACCCAACTAAAACTAGAAGTGTTCTGGAGGTCTCTGGGAGACATAAAATGCCTTAAGGTCTTGGATACTGAGGAAAGCTTCCAAGAATGAAATTACCCACCAAAGATGATCACACAGAGATGGGCTGGTTACCAGATTATCTGTTCACAGTGACAACAGAAAGTTGCAACTTTTGGAGGACATATTCATGAGCTGCCACATGGAACAAAGCTTGCTGAGACAATGCAAAAATGGGTCAGCTCAGAAAACCATTTCTTAGTATTTTTCACTGTAACATTATTGTTTGCTAGGTATTGGCAACTTAAAAAGAGAAGCAGAAGATAATCACAAGTTATATTGAGATAGTTTTAAATAATAATTATAATGAAGCCATAGTGCTTGTTGCAGTCTTTACTTTCCTGGTCCTTGTTTTCTAGCGTAATCAACATGTTTCTTGAGTACCTCCCTTAATGACTATGCCTGAAATAAAGTGAGTTCCTTTTAATTATGCAGTAAATACTTTCTTTTAATTGCTGCTTAAGCTGAGTGTTTTGGTGGTGCACATAACTCCTGATGTACTAGGTTTTGAACTTGATGTCTTATCTATAGTAAATGGTAGGAGTACAATAGCGCATGTAAATTATGCCATAAACTTCCAAAGGCAGTATGGTCTCCAAGGACAGTTGCAGATTATATGTGTCACACAGTCCACTTGAGAGCCAACATGATACCATGCAAAGAAGTCTGGACTTTAATCAGAGGACCTGGCTTCAAATCCTAGCACTACCTGTGTGATCTTGGGCCTCATGGTTATATAGCTTTTCTGGGCCTCAGTTTCCCCCTATGTAAAATTAAAGGGTTGGAGTTGATGGGCTTCTAAGGTCCTTTCTCACTCAAGGTTTATGATATTTAGAATCCATAATTTTTAGGGATCAAGTTAAAGTCAGCTGCTGAGGAAAATCTCTATTTGGGTAGCCCTAACCTGTGAATACTATACTACGTGTTCATTTCTAAAATGTTCTCCAGGTACAATCTATTTTTATTAATACTTGATTGCTAAATAGAAATCATTATTCAGAGTCTTGACCTACATCTTAGGACTATGTTTATGCATGTGTGGGAAGTGGATACTAAACACTAATCCGTTTTCAAGAAATGTGTTTGGTCATTTTGGGATTATATAACGTTGCCCTGAATACCAGTCCACATTCACTATACTCATAGAAGAGCAAGTCATGGGTCTCTTTTACTGTTCCTCCAGCCTCAGGGGCCATGTATACAATTCTCTTTCTCCAAAGGGCAACACAAATATAGAAGTACTCTTTTTTTCTCTAGAAGGTCAGGTTTCTATATTTTTGAACCCATGTCCTTGTGCTGCCATTTTTGGCTAGAAGACTTGATCATGTTCCCTAAGAGACTTAAATCCACTTAAATCCACTCCCTCCCTTCATAGGAAGCTGGGGTTTAGGGACATTGTCTAGGAACCTCCTTGTTATCCTTGTGGGGCTTTTGCTATATCGTTTTGCCATCTCTTGTGCTGGGAAGGTCCACTCTTGTATATCTCGAGGTGGAGCACCTGTAACTCACATGTGCTTCTGCCCCAGGTTTGCTGTTAGCATTTCCCCTCATGTATAGCACAAGTCTGCCCTGTTGCACTGTAGTCTGGCCTCGGAAGAGAGAAAGGTGAAAGGAGGCCAACAAAGGGTTGAGAATATTTTAATCACTGTCCATTGTAGGCCTCACAAGGGGGTAGCTCCTTCTATGGCCCAGCCATAAGAACATAAGAATGCCCTATCTTGGGGGCAACCCTGGACATTGAAAAACTATTAGAAGTTTTCTGCATCTTCTGAACAAGATGCGATATACGTGTCCACACCCCCTATAGAGAGATGCTTTCTTGATCCCAAGTCTCATACCCTATAAAACTTGTCAAACCTTTTTTAAAGCACATTAATATACATTATTTTATTTAATTATCTTAAGGTTGTATTGTGGATAGGGTAGATAAATTTTTTTTGTATTATGAGGAAAATATGGCACCAAGAAATTGATTAGATTTGCCTCAGTGGCTCAACCAAGGACACACAGCAAGTTAGTGATGGGGGTGGGATCAGAACCTAGATCTCCTGCCTGAGATAAGGTTTGAAAATTTTACATCCTATGTTTTACTGCCCAGTAGAAGTTTTGAGCCTTTTTTATAATACAAGAAGACTTGACATCTGAAGATAAATTTCCATGTGCCACCAAAGCAGAATTTTTTAGGATGAAAAATATATGCGTTTACAAAAAGTCACATTAAAAATAATTGTGTCCCACCCAAAATCACACTATAATGAGCATTCTTTTAGTAGAAATAAAAATGACATTGCCTCTAAACCCATAGTTCTCTTTAGTTGTGTCAGTAGCAAACCATTTAGCACAAAAGCTTTTGTTGAATACATCATTCATATAGCACACAATTATGGTTGTGAGATTGGAGTTACCGAAAGAGTATAGTATCATTTATCAAGATAGATCTCTGGTTTATCTACCTCATATCAGAAACCTAAGTGTGTTGGCTCATGCAGCAGACTCCTAGGTTTTCCGTTTATTTGATAATTCATGCCTTTGAAGCTTGGTTCCCATCTGTAAAATGGGAATCATTATTCCTTGCATTGCCTTCCCAGCTGTAAGGATCAAATGAGCTATGCTTTGTAAAGTGTTTTGCAAATCTGTAAAAAATGTGACCTCTTGCTATTGTTGTCATCTAAAAGAGGTGAGACCTGAGATGTCTCAGTAAATTCATCACATTTAATATATTCAGGCCGTTCTTAGTCTTAAATAATCCTGATTAAAAAAGCTATATTATATTTCTGCAATGCAACCAAGTCTTCCTGACTCCAAGTCCAGTGCTTTATCTACTGCACCATCATGCATCAAAGTTATAAAGAAGCAGATTTATGTTTAATATAAAAGAAAACTTCCTAAGAATTAGATTGTACAAAAGTAGAATGGGTTGCCTTGGGAAGTAATGAATTCTAAATCAGAGACGTAGTAGATGGGATTCTGTTCTTATACAAGTTAGCCCAGGTGGCCTCTGAGGTCTTTCTGAAGCCTGTAATCCTTCAATTTTAACAAAATGGTGCAACTCCAATAATTTTAGCTGAAGAATATCCTTAGTCCTTTTTTTCCTCCTTGGATTTTAGTGGAGTATTTTTGTTGCTGTTCTTAAACATTTATTGTATAAAACTCTAGATCAAGAATTCTTAACTCTGTGTGTGTGTGTGTCTGTGTGTGTGTGTGTCTGTGTGTGATGGACCCCTTTGGCAGTCTAGTGAAGCTTATGGACCCCCTACTTAGAATAATATAGTTATTCATAAAACACAATACATAGGGTAACAAAGGAAACCAATTATATTTAAGTATAGTTTTCAAAATATTTTTAAAAGGTTCCTAGATTCCACATCAAGGACCCCTGCTTTAGGGATATTTTTCATGTAACATGGACTATAGAATTTTATAAAGTGATATTCCCTTTAAAAACCAACCAAATGCAAAGTACATTAAATATTTGTTTTGCTTATGGTATATGACCTCATTCCCACTCAAGGTATCCTATTTTTGTCACCACTTCCATGATATTACAAGATTGATTTGCTGTGTTATTTGAAGGATAGAAGGGTCTGCCCCTCCCCAGCTAATGCTTTGCTTTCTTGGGCATAGTATGTCTTTATGTTTCTTGTTGAGAACTGAAATTTTAAAATATCATGGAAGCAGTCTAAGTCAGAGATCATGAAAACTTAACACAGATCTAACTAACAACATTTCTTATACTGACAGGGCAACAGTCTCCTGAGAATGATAACACGATAAAGGACCTGCTCCCTGAAGATGCTGGGATTGACCATCAGACAGTGCACCAGCTGATTACAGTTTTAATGAAGTTTATGGCTAAAGATGAGAGTAGTGCGGAGTCAGACATCAGTAGTGCTAAGGCCTTTAACACAGTCAAACGGCATTTGTATGTTTTACTTGGTTATGACCAGCAAGAAGGATGCTTTATGATAGCCCCTCAAAAAATGCGCCTCTCGACTTGTTTCAATGCATTTATTGCTGGAATTGCACAAGTAAGTATGGTTTTCATTCTCAGTAGACTATGTCAGTTAGGTAAGCTATGTACGAGAATTAGTCAGATTCCTAGCTATATAGCATAAACAGTTTCTAAAATGTGCAAAGCGTCATTGGGTAATAGCAATACTAGTTCATTCAACAAACATTTTGAAGCACCTACTGTGTGTGGAGCATTGTGTGAGTGCAGGACAGATGAAAGTTAAGGTAAGACATGGTCCCTATACTCATAGTCCAGGAGTGGGATAAGACAAACATGGCATTACATGATATCATTAGAGAGTTGCAAAGCAAAGTGCTATGTGCAGTCTTAAGGGTAAGGTTGTTACTGACCAGGAAGAGCAGAGCTGGTTTCATGAAGATGTCATTCATACCAGGCTTTAACAGATTACCAGGAAAAGAAGGGAAAGGAAGAAATGCCAAGTATAGAGAATGTTCTGGGAAAAATCATGGAGGCAGGAAAAAATAGGCCACCGTTAAGAGATAGAGAAGTTCACATTTGCATAGCATTTCAAAAAGCATTTCCTTTAAAACAAGCCCGTGAGGTAGGTAGTATAAAAGTATAACTGACTCCAGAGATATGGGATTGGATAAGTCCCAGGAGGAAGGCTAGTTCTGGGTATAATATGTGACTAGCTTGTGCTTTAATGTACCAAGTGTCAAAATGGAAATGGTCAGTTCAGCTTCTTCAAGCAGTTATAGGCATGAAACATATGGCTGTATCAGGCAGCAGTTGCACATGGTTGGAAAGAAATTAGGCAGAGGAAATTTAATAATCCTTGCCTTCTTTCTATAATTGTCTTGTAAGTTTTCCTTTGGAATTTTCTTTGGGTAGTAAAGTTGGTATATGATGTTACAAAATATTTATGTCCTCTTACTTTATGACATATCATTGAAGTTTTCTATAGTATTGTAAGAAGATTTTAATGCATGGTCATATCAATTCCCCATCACTAGAAGTATTCAAGCATATATATATTTATGTGTGTGTATATGCATATACATACATATATAATATACATATATTTGAATTTTTATGTATATGTATATATAGTTCATTAGTTATAAATATACACACATTAATAATTTTTCAACTGTGTTTCTAGTGTAAGCCCTTAAAACTGTTCAGAGAACTCCAAAATGACAGAATCACAATATCTCAGAGATGGAAGTAACCTTAGGTCACTGTGCTAGGTGTTTGAATATTTTTTCTGGTACCAGAACAGAAATTCCCTCTACACCATCCTGGTCGGTATAATTCTCCTTATACAGCACGAACATAGTTTTCTACTTATACATGTTTGTTATATTATTGTTATACATATTTAAACATATAGTTTATATAATTAAGTATTTCCTAAAATTATTTTTGATGATGCTGATAGATCAATGCATGCCACTCATGCTTATAGTGGTGGTAGAGGGTGTGCAATTTTACATGCCAAACCAAGGGCAGACTTTGAACTCAGACCTTTAATGGTATCATATAAATGATAGCCTTGTAGATAGTCTTTTGTTTGTTTTGACATTTGGCACATTTAATTGAGGTTTTTTCCCCTCCAGTTTTCTGATTGACACTGAGAATAGGCTTATGCTTTGTCCTTTGTAATTCATTCATTCATTTATTCATTCATCCATTCATCTCTCCCTCCATTAAGTATTTGTTGAGTGTGTACTATGTATAATATAAAGATGAGTAAGGTGAGTGGCCTCTGACCTCATATATCAAACATACATACATTTAAATTTATGGACACACATATAGATTAACATATTAGTAATATGCAGATATTAGTTAATTGTATATATTTATATGTGTGTATATCTATATATCAAGATTTATTTGAAAAAATCTGGATCATGATTTTACCAGTGTAGGGAGCTCCCAGTGAAAAATTACCCTTACCGAAACAGATTAGAGAGATCTCTGCAAACCTATCATATTAGATAGACCTGCCTGGAGCACTGAAAGGTTATGATGCCCCAGGTAATACAGCCAGTATGACAGATGCAGGACTCCAAGGTCAACTCTCCATCCACTACATGCTGCTTTTCATTCAGAGCCAGGTCAGGTTCAGAATGCCTGACTCCATATCTAGAACATTTTTCCCTACAACACACTGTCTCTAGCCATTTTCTGGGGAAGGTATAGAAGTCAGAGAATTAGATAGGCCAGATGACCTCATAGGCCTCTTCCAGTTCTGAGATGCCATGACTTTATGATGCCGTGAGGGATGTGCAGGTAATTCATGGGTAAGAGACAACTGTGAGTGGGAGTGGTCAGGAAAGACTTCATGAAGGGAGTGAGAACTGCATCTCTCTTAGGGCACTGGCACATTCTGCCTTGTATTGTAGTTGCTTATGTTCATGTCTTGTCCTCTTATTAGAGTGTAAACTGCATCAGGACATTGTTTTTATGTCTTTGTCTCCTGACAATACTTACTTCAGGACTTTGCTAGATGTTGAATAGCTGCTTAGCGAAGGCAATGTGGGAGTGAGGGCACTAGCAAGGCAGAGAGAAGAGGGAGGGTAAGCATGAATGCTTCTATTTGCTTTCATTGTTTAATTTATATCTGTTTCAGGTGATGGATTATAACATCAATCTGGGAAAACATCTTCTCCCTTTAGTGGTTCAAGTGCTTAAGTACTGCTCTTGTCCTCAACTGCGACATTACTTTCAGCAGCCGCCGCGTTGCTCCCTGTGGTCTCTGAAGCCTCACATTCGGCAGATGTGGTTGAAGGCATTACTCGTTATTCTTTATAAGGTGAGCCACCTTTGTTACTTTTCCATTCTGGGCACAATGATCCTTTTAGGGAATTCTAGTGTTAGCATAGTACTTGGGTAGCCATTCTGCAACTTCAGGCATGGTGTTATTGATTCTTCAAAGAAAATTAGCCTTATGTAACTTGGAATTGAGGTCTATGCAGATGCTTGGGAGAGAGTTAAAATGGAGTGTCTTAAAATATTTCAGTATCCCAACAAACATTTATTAAGTGCTTAATGCAGAATACTGTGCTAGGTATTCTGAGAGACATACAAATTTTAGATGAGGTATCATCTTTGTTCTTGAGGTTCTTGCAGTCCAGTAGCTGCTGTGAAAACTCCTAGAGTTTACAGTGATTACTGACATTTATATGTACTTTAGAGTTTACAAGGGACCTTACATGTATTATCTCATTTTCTCTCTCATGGCAGCCCTTGAGGGTAAGATAATAGAGGCATTATTATCATCTTTATTTTACAATTAAGAAAACTTTGACACCGGGGTCAAAGTAAAGTGAATTTCTCAAGGCCACACAGATAGTAAGTATTAGAACCAAGAATTGAACCTCCATCTCTGATACAAAATCCAATGTACTTTGTACCAAACTGACATCTAATATTAATTAGTTATCTAAAAATTTAATAAAAGGAAAGCAATATTACAGGGGAAAGTTAGTTCCATAAGAGCTATGTTATAAATAGAGATTCATTCCTAAGTGGCCAAAATTAAGACTAGAGAGTTTAAAATGGATCTTTAAATAAACTGAGACTATAATATAGACTATTCCTGGGATAAACTAAGCTAGTCTGTTCTGTGGCCAAATGATGTTACAGTTGGAGTTATATAAATTTAGTCAATATCCCACGTTAGAAACCTTGGAATTCTCTTTGACACTTCCTTTCCCTTTTCTTCTTATATCCCATTATATCCCTTTATCCCTTTGTCCCATTGATTCTCTCTTTTTAAACCTATTTTGAATCCATTTTCCCCTGTTTTTATTTCCACTGTCACTACCGTAGTATAGGCCTTCATTCTATTTGACTAAACTATTGCATTAGCCTCCCAGCAGATTTTTCTGCCTCCAATTTAATTTCCCTTTAGTCTAGTCTTTACACTAGAATGATCTTTATTATATCTAAATTTGGATCTGTCATTCTTTTGCTCAGAAATCTTCACTGGCTCTCTATTTTTTCTAAGTATAATTCAAACTCCTTTGCCTGTAATTTATGGCTGTCTGCAGTTGGACATTATTATACCTTTCCAACTTTGTCTCATGTCACTATTTTCCATGTACTCTTTAGCCAAACTGGTCTTTTTCTTGTTCCCAGAATGTAATGTATATGTTCCAACTTCCATACCTTTGACTGGGCTATCACATATGCCTCCAATGCCTTCTTCTTGCTTCACATTTTGTACTTCTATCCATTTTTCAAAGCCCAATACAAACATCACTTCTTCTGTGCAGCCTGATATGATCCCCCTTATCAGTAATGACCTTCCTGCCTTGGTCCTCATGCAACTTAACATGAAATGTCGCTTATTTTATTTATGTGTTTTTATTTCATATCTCTATAGTAGACTGCAAACTTTGTTTTCTCTTATAGTTCTTTTACCTCCTTTTCCAGTTTTATTTCCTGTTAATCCCCTTCATACATAATCTGCTTTGGTCAATCTGACCTGCTAGCTTTTCACCACATGCAATGTTCCAAGCCCTACTTCTTTGATTTGTGTTAGTGTCCCTGCATTTATCAGTTGCGCTCCCTCCTCACTCCTGCCTGTTAGAACCGTTACTTTCCTTTAAAGCATAGCTCAGGTGCTAACTCCTCCATAAGGCCTTGCCTTATTCCTCCATTTATTAGTGCTCTCTCTCTCTCCCTCTCTCCTTCCCTGTCCCTCTCGAAATTCTTTATATTGCTTTGTATTTATATGATTACTTATCATTTCTCTCAATAGATTGTAAGTTCCTGGAGGGAAGCCTTTTATATTGTAAGCAATCAATAAATATTTGCTGAATAAACTAATTAACAACATTATTGTGAAATGTTTCATATACTTGTATCTATAATATATTTTATTTTATTTGCAGTATCCATACCGAGATTGTGATATCAGCAAGGTTATGTTGCATCTGATCCATATAACAGTCAATACACTCAACGCACAGTATCATAGCTGTAGACCTCATGCTACTTCAGGACCTTTGTACAGTGACAACAGTAACATCAGCAGATATAGTGAGAAAGAAAAAGGTACTTTCAGCATCTGAATTTTACTCTTTATTCTGCTTAATACACCTTGCATGATGTGTTTAGGAGAGAGGGGTATTTCAGAGTCAAGCTACATATTGATCCTTTATTTCTTTTTAAAACTTTCCCTCCTAACACTGTTTTTTAAATTTTCAAATGCTCCTTGAAGAGGAATTAACAGTCTCTTTTGACATGAATAGTATTGTTCTTAATGAATCATTTGATATTTAGTGAAGAAGGCTTTGTGAACCTTTTCAAAACCATTAGGAAATTTCTTTCTTTGACATACCACCAAAAAAATACTATTTTCTCCAGCACTTTAAGGAGCCATCGTTTTGAAATTCTCAAGTTTGTTTCTGAAATCAGAATCATAATTTGAATGAATTCTAGGCTTGAAAACATCTCCTGTTGTCATCTGTCAATAATAAATGGTCTGTATTGGTGATTCAAGATTCTGCTCACAATAATAGTTCACCTTAAGGTTTGCAAAACACTTTATATATGTTATTTCATTTGCTGTCTTATGAGGGAATATATCCCAAACAGCTTAAGCACACAGATTATAATGACCTTGTTTTAGTAAGCATTTTGCCAGGTAATTATTTTTTCTTGGAATGAAACAATAAAAGTAAATCTTAAGAGAAATGAAATTAATATCAGAAATATTCTTATGAGAGCAGATTTGAAGAGCAGAGGCATTTTTCCACAGTTAATGCTAAATTGACTTCATCTGACCTGTTTGGAGCTAATTGATGTTATAATGAACCATAGGGATGCAGATAACAGTCTAGATTGAGCCAAGAGTTGTTATTACACCTTGGATAATGGTTCATTATATACAGATGTCAATTTGATTTTAGGACAATTCAAAATTCTAGGTTGACTCTAGAATGGGATCCAAGGGTCAAGTTAGGTTTGGATTACCAGGGCTACCAAAAACCTGCCCTGATGTAGTCATAACCCCCTGGCTTGGCCTCTCACTTTTCCTAACCTCTGAGATGTTCTGCAGATTAGACTGATGTAGAAATTGATTTTAGCTCCTGTTTTTGGACAGGGATTGGACATAGTTTTCTGTTCATTCAGCACCTTAGTGAACAATATTTTCAGACTCTGGGAGTGGAATCAAAAGGGAATCATATGCTCCATGAATTTTACATTTCCAAATGGAGAGCTAAGAAGTGGAACCAACATACCTGTCATTGTCATATAAAAGCAGATTTGGACATAATGTCTTTTCTTTGAGCAATGACAGTAGCAATACTATATCTACATAGCTCAGTAGTTGGGCCTTAATCCTAAAGGCAAATTCATCATAAGCATTTATTTTTCATTTGGATAAAAAGTTCAGCATATGTAATTTTGTTAATGGATTCTGTTTGATGTCAAATTAACTTGCAGAATCTAGGTAGGGTAAGAGTGATACCTGAAGTGCAGTTATTTTCCCCTACTTCAACTAGCATGTGGTTAATACTAAAAAAAAAAAATCAGAACCACACCTTGGCTTCATTGTTGCAGATAATAGGCCCAGAAACCAGGTTGTATTTTAACACTATTATTTCATCGAGAATAAATCTAAAAAAATGTCTTTAAGGTATATAAGTCCTGATGAGTAAGAATACAATGCTATTTTTGTTAATCATGGTGTTTGATGCATGTCAGTAGTTTTTTCCCTTGCTCATTTGTTGCCTTTTGGGCATAATAAAAATATGAAAGGAAGTGAACTGTCCAAAAGAATTCTCTGGATCTTTGCTGTTTTCATCATTAATTTGCCTCTGGCCCTATCTGTGATTTAAAAGTGGCCCTCCAGGAGAAATCCAAAAGAGGACATGGCACCCAGACAAGGACACTGAACAAATAAATTAGTGTGTGTGTGTGCGCACGCGTGCACGTGCACACACATGCACTGATCCTTAGGAGTATGAAAGACCAAGATACTTTTGGAATTTCATGAAATATATTACGGTAACATATGATGAATACCACAGAGGAAGAATCTTAATTGTATTAGGAGAAATTTTTTTTTTGTTTTTTTGTTTTTTTGTTTTTTTATTTACTCTTTCAGTCCATAATCATTTGTGGAGCTTTTGAGATAACAAATGGCTTTTATAAGCTTTTTGTGTGTTGTGTGTTTCATTATCAAATGTAGAGTACAGTATTTTGCATTTACAAAAAGGTGCATGTAGTGCTAGGCTGTGTCTATACTAGTCTTAAAAAACCCCAGGATTAAAAAAAATTACACATTCTAATGTAGTCTTGTCTAGTTTAATTTCTTTTTGTCAAAGTAGACTCAAAAAACTCGACAAAATAAGTAAAAAAAAGAAAATAATTTGGCTTAGCCAGTTTCCCAGGCATAAAGAAAAGTATCACGCAGTTTTAAGAGCATTTAACAACTCCCTTCCTCCATTTGGCCATATTGGGGTAATGAGATCTATATCCTGGAAATGATGCCATAGCATGAAGTATGATGGGCAACCTCTTGGTAGGTTGCTATGCTGCACAGGTGGAAAATTTGAAATCTGGAAACAGTACCAAGCCATGACTTGAACTAGGTTCATGTAGACACTTTCCTCAAAACTTAATTCCACAAATGCTTTCATGGAAACACTAGTGTAGACACAGCCTAAGAGATGGTGGAGTCTCTTAAGTGTAATTATGACTTTCTCTCCCCAATTAGAGGAAGATAGTGTTTTTGATGAATCTGATATTCATGATACACCTACTGGACCCTGCAATAAGGAGTCTCAAACTTTTTTTGCAAGATTGAAAAGGATAGGCGGCAGCAAAATGGTGAAATATCAACCGGTTGAGATGAATGTGCAGAGAAGTATGAATTTTTTATCTTAGTAATTTTATGCAGAAATGTTGTACTCTACTGTTTGTTTTAGGCTAAAACTTAATTTGATTATGTTACTACACTTTTTTAATATTATTGATTTTGATATATATGTATGCACAAACAGTATATATATAGATACATTTATATATATACGAGGATTGACAGATACATCATTAATTGTCATGATTGTCTCAGAGGGCCATTGCTTAATTTGATTTGTTGCAAAATGTTTGCTTCTCTTCCACACAACCTGAATACAGTTCCTTAGATCTGATTCAGCTGAACAAACCCCATCTAGGGCCCAGCTGAACAGAGCTGAGGAATTATTTGGAAACCTAATTGTCTGCAAAAACAGACCTTAGAGGGCCATTTTGGTTCTCCCATGGCACAATTCTAATCTGGTTCTTGCAGTTAGAAAGCCTTGCTAAAAACTTGCCCAGAAAGTCAGTTTTCCCCACTGGTGGTTCTGGGATTGTGGATTATGGTTTATGCCACTTATGTGCTGGAGCATGAGGGGAAAAAAGTGAATCGTCAAGTAAAATAGTACTAGCTTTTTCTGTTTTAATCAGGTGAAATAGAACTGGCTGAATATAGAGAAACGGGTGCATTTCAAGACAGCATTCTACGCTGTGTGAGAGAAGAAAGCATTCAGAAAAAAAAGCTGCGCTCTTTAAAACAAAAATCTCTTGATATAGGGAATGCAGACTCCTTGTTGTTTACCTTAGATGAGCATCGTAGGAAGTCCTGCATAGACCGGTGCGATATAGATAAGCCTTCTACCCATGCTGCTTACATCACACATAGACAAAATGATTATGGAAGACCCAGACAGAATTCTTCTACCAGACTGGACAATACAGAAATCCCTGAGAACCCCATTATAGAGGGTTTTCAAGAAACCCGAAGACCAGTGATACCAGAAGTCAGATTAAACTGCATGGAGACCTTTGAGGTGAAAGTTGATTCTCCAGAAAAACCTTCCACTCCTAAAGAGGATTTAGATCTTATTGATTTGTCATCAGATTCCACATCAGGGCATGAAAAGTGCTCTATCCTCTCCACTTCAGACAGTGACTCTCTTGTCTTTGAGCCCCTTCCTCCTCTTCGAATAGTGGAAAGTGATGAAGAGGAGGAAACAATGGAACAAGGTACTGAGGGTATCTCTAGTAAAAATACTCTTTCCTTTCCTTCAAGTCCCACTGGGCCCTCTGTACTCACAACTCCTCTTGTGCAAGTTAGTGTAGAAGATTGCTCTAAAGATTTTGCTTCTAAAGACAGAAGAAATAGTCAGTCATCAGGGAAAAAGGAAACTTCTCCCCAGCTTTCTGAAGAGCCAAAAGATGGTGAAGAGTTGTCAAAGCTAGAGACACTTCAAGAATTTTCCTGTGGTAGCCCTCTCACTTTGAAACAGAAGAGAGACCTTCTGCAGAAATCTTTTGCCCTTCCTGAGATGTCAATTGATGATAGCACTGAGCTTAGCATGGAGGAAGAAAAGGAAGGTGGACAGAACTCAAGTTCATGTGCCAAAACAGTTCTCCTTAAAGTTCCTGAAGATGCTGAGAGTCAGTCTGAAAGCGAAAAGCCTGATGCTAGTGCTGAGTCTGACACAGAGCAGAATGCTGAACAAAAGGCAGGAGAGGATGGAACTGAGGAGTCTGAATTTAAGATCCAGATCGTGCCTCGGCAAAGGAAGCAGAGGAAGATTGCAGTCAGTGCTATCCAGAGAGAGTACTTGGACATTTCTTTCAACATTCTAGACAAACTGGGAGAGCAGAAAGAGTCAGGTAAGCACATTTCTCTTTCTCCTTCATAACCCCACACACACCCACCCACTGAGTCTTTCCCTGAAGTTTGTGCAACTGTGATAGAATTCTGGCCCTGAATATGCATCAAACTCTTTATTCTTATAATGTCAGCTTCTGACATTATAATTGCTTCAGAAACCACCCTGACTCCCTCCTGCTCCAAATAGCACGTTGGATTCAGATGTGGTTTTACTGGCTGCCTACATGTCACAGTCTTTGTTGTCTCCTAAGCACTACAGTCAACTCTTGATTATCCATGTTTATAGGAGAGACTTGATATTCCTAAAGCTTTGTTCTGAGCCAATTGTTTCGCTTCTCTTCCTCACAAGAGCTACAGCAAGAAGCAAAATAAATCTCCATTCTTTTCTGCACACCCATTAGTGAGCAGTAAGAGACCCCAAAAGAGGAGCAGAAATGAAGGGCCTCGGATAAGCCATGGGCCAGATGAAAAGGCCCTGAGTTATTGAGAGTTGACTGTACACTCATTTAGAGTCCACGGCTACTTACATATTTAGCTAAATGTGCAGAGCTTTTTAGACATTCTCAGCTCTCGGGAATCTAAACATTAGTTACAACTATGTAATCCATAGGCATCAAGATTCTTTTATATATATATATGGGGGGGCATGTGGGTAATTAATAAATACCATTTGATGATGACACATGGTCATAACACTACAGTTCTCTGCTTAAATGGCATTTTTAATACTGTCCAGGAAGCAGAAATTCTAAGCACATCAAGGTGAACAGTTCAGGTACGAATAGACTTACGTTATCTTAAAACATTTCAGGTTTCCTGAAGGCTCGACATAGTGCTGTTTGTATCTCTCTATCTCTTTAGTTTGTATCTAGAAAGTTACAGCTTACTAGAAGAAATAGGAGGGGCAGCTGGGTAGCGCATGGACTCCGGCCATGGAGTCAGGAGAACCTGAGTTCAAATCCGACCTCAGACACATGACACTTACTAGCTGTGTGACCCTGGGCAAGTCACTTAACCCCAATTGCCTCACCAAAAGTCAAAAAAACAAAAAGAAAAACCAAAAGAAATAGGACTGGTTAGGAATGATCATTTTGAAAAAAAAAAATAGTTACAGCGTGTTAGAGCTGGAAAGAATTTTAGCAATCTTATCTATTCTATACCTCTTTCCAAACCGTGTTTTACAAATAGGCATACAAAGGTCCAGAGGGGTTAAGTCATTTTACCCAGAACCCTATACAAAGTTAGTGACAGACCCACAACTAGAACCCAGGTCTTTCAGGTCCAAATCCAGTGCTGTTCTGTTATCCTATGAAAATAAATGATATCGAAACATTTATCTCCTTTGATAAAAACCTTTGTTTTACTAGTTTTCCCTTCTTGCTCTGTAGGGTGCTAGACACTGTTCTTGAGTGCCTAATAGAGTCATGGAGAGTCATAGAAATTACAGCTGTCAGAGATCTTGGATATCATCTATTTCAACTCCCTCATGTGAGGTGGGAAAACAGGCCCAGAGAGGTCAAGGGATGAGCCCAAACAAGGTCACTTAGCTATTCAGTAGCAGGGCCAGTACTAGAATCTAAGTCTTCTGACTTCTATTCCATTGTAGATGGTAGGTCATCAGCAATTGCTAACTAAATGAATTTAGAGAAGGTAGAAAACTGGATCTGGCATTAACAGGTAAGGCTATGGTGACTTTTAAGTAAGAGTAGCTTTGGGCAACTTAGAGCTAGAGTTATTATTGCAGTTAGAGAATTATTATCTTTGCTTAATGATAGCTTATTACTTCTCTTAGTTGCACACCTAGAATATATGGGGATATGATGTCTACATAATCTAGGCATTGTTTGTGTTTACATAACCTAGGTATTGTATGTGAGGTGTCTTCTTATTCATCCTTATTCATCTCTATCCTACAGCCCTTACTATTCACAGCCCCCTGTCCCGCTCTCCCTGAGTTAGAGTTGAGAAAACAGACTCTATTGTTAGTTATTTCATTCATTCAATAAGAAAATCTGCTTATATTAAAACTAGAAGGCTTGGTGCTCTTATAGACTAATAAAATGGACTAATAGAATATTAGAGCTGGAAGGCACCTGAATACACATCTGCAGAGTGTTAGGACATAGCACGTAAAATGTTAGTTTTGGAAAGTGCATTAGAGTATGTGATCATAAAATATGAGAATTAGATGGAAATGTTAGAGCTGCAAGGGACTCTGTCCTTTTACAGATAAGGAAACTGAGATTCAGAAGTTATTGATATGCTCCAGGCCATGCAGAAGCCATTTTTGATAATATATTATTATATTCTCTGTAAAAAAGGAAGTAATCAATAAACAAAAGAGAAAGCAGAGTAAAAATAATTGGCCTAAAGTAACAACTTGTTGGGTTTTTTTATGTTTTTTTTTTTTAATCCAGTGATTTTATGAGAGCAGCTAGGTGGTACAGTGAATAGAGCTCTGGCCTTGGAGTCAGGAGGACCTGAGTTCAAATCCAGCCTCAGACACTTAACACTTACTAGCTGTGTGACCCTGGGCAAGTCACTTAACCTGATCACCTAAGCAAAAAAGAAAAAAAGAAAAAAAAAAGCAACACCCTCTACCAATGTGGATTGGGAACCATATAGCAATTTATAATCACAGAGAGTTGCTTGGGGAAAGATTCAGAGAATTGCCCAGGGTATCACACAGCAATTTTGTATTAGTGGAAGGTCTTGAACCTTCTGATTCTGAGGCCAGCTCTTCATCCATTATACCTCACATCCTCTTAGTGATATACTTAAGATTGCTGCTGTACGACAAGGCTTTTCTTTCAAGATGAGAACTACAGCAAGAATTTTTTTTTTTAAAACCACAAATATAATTGAGGAATTGATAAAATGTGACCTTGAACCATTCTAATTATCTGTTGGTTTTGGGCTCATTGGTAGTTTTGTACTTTACTGATAAGTAAATAGCAAGAACATACTGAAAGGAATGAGTGCAAGAGGGATATTTATCCTCAAATGGAAGCCTGGGGAAAAGGTAGTTTAGAAAATCACTTTGGGAACAATCAGGAAGAGACTTATTCTTTGTTTGGGAATGGAGGAGGGTGAGGAAGAAGAAGTATATTTTTTATATTGGTTGGCTTTTTTCAGAGTGCTCATTTACTGTGAGCGTTGGAAGGATCATAGGATTATAGATCTAGAAGATCTAAAGAGACTTCAGAGGTCATCTAGTCCAGCCATCTAGTTTTACAGAAGAAGAAAATGAGGGCCAGGGAGGTCAAGTAATTGCCCAAGGTCACATAGGTACTAAGTGTCGGAGGTAGGATTTGAACCCATGTTCTCTGACTCTGGTGTATTCTCTCCTTTTATAGCTGAACAAAACAAACAGAAAATTTGAGTAACTTGCCCAAGGTCATAGAACTAGTAAATGGCAAAGCTGGGACTTCAGTCCAGATCTCCTGACTCCAGTTCCAGATGTTCTTGCCATTATCCTTGTTATTTTAATGAACATAGTCATTTTAGTTGTTGTTATATTATACTTCATTTGAATGGCTAGTAATTCTTAGGGAATTTTGTAATATAATAATACCTTAGCTAGTGGAGGCCTTACTATCTACTTACTATCTGAGGCATAGTGGAAAACCAGTAAGAAAGTGGAAGAATACTTTGAGCAGCATACATAGATAGCAAAAAGTTCATATCTAGAGTTCATGGAGTTTACATATAGGTGGTATCCTAACCTAAAGCTAATTAAAAATGTTTGAGGAAAGGCAGAAGTATGGGGAAGTATCTCTTAGAGTTAGGCATCCTGACAGTAGTAAGAAGTGTTCATTGACAATCTGACAGCCAGGGTGTAGAAAGGAAATGTATAAACTTGGAAAAATATTTAATACAATTATCTAGAAATCACTTATCTAGCAACCTCTTAATGTTCAGAATTTAGCTGAGAACTACCAAGGTTGCAAGTTTTCCACATAAAAAGTAGGGTTTTTTTTTTCTATAAAAATTTAAAAAGCACAGCAGTCTGGGGCTGTTTAGTGTGAGGAAAACCATTCTACTCATCTCAGTTGACCCAGTGAGCATTACTGTATTACTTTGTATTGTATTTGGTGAACATAATAGAAAATGATGATTGCTACTTAATAAAATGTTAAATTCACGATTTTGTATCTTCAATTTAAGAAAGTTGGGAAGTATGTAATATCTTTTAGAAAAATTTCAATCCAAATGGTTAAAATAAAAATAAAACCTTTAGATGCTTAAATAATAACTTGTTAGCATAACAGGCCAAATTAATTTCCTATTGATGCTAGGTAAATGAGAAGAAACTGAGAAAACACTTTTCATCTTTGAACAATTGGCACATTGTTGTTAAATAATAGAGAAAATAAACTTATCTTGCTACTTGCCTCAGTAATGAAATAATAAATACATGCCCTAAATTTATTTGGCAACGTTGGGATAATCCCTTCACCCTTCTAGGCCTCAGTGTCCTACTCTATACAGTGAAGAGGTTAGATTAGATGAGATTATTTAAGATCCCTTCCAGCTCTGACATTTTAAGGTGCTATTAGATGAACAGTGTCATGAAGTTTAAGTTGATTTGTCCAGGGTTTCAGACTGAATCACCAATCACACAGCATTGAGCAGAATGCAGAATCTCTACCATGTGACTCAGCTCTGGGCTGTTTCTCAAGAGATAGGTTTAGAGATATCAAAAGTGACTTGGATGCAGCTCTTTATGAGTCTTCTAGTCCCCCTATCAGAAAATAAATGAAGAGTTCAGAGTGTCTGAAAATATAAGGGAAAGAAGAGAATGAAAACTGTTCTTGGACTTTTTTCTTTAATCTGTTTTTTTTTTGAGGTTTTAAGTAGCATTTCTTTTTATAGATCCTTCTGCTAAAGGACTTTCAACTTTGGAAATGCCCAGGGAATCTTCCTCTGCACCAACTTTAGAAGCAGGTGTGCCAGAAACAAGTAGCCATTCTTCTATATCAAGTAAGATTTCCATTGGCTTCAGGATATGAAACGTAATTATTGTATTCATCACATTGGTCTCATGTCATCACCTGGTACATCAATCAAAATTCAGCCCATATCTGGAAGTGTATTACCTTAATACCTTAAATTTCTTTGATTTTACCTGTCATGTAGTCAGAGGGCCTAGAGCTTACCATGACATAGTATTGTTCAGCATCTTGGGAGTTTAATGGGCCATATGGATGCTGGTTTGTTGCTAATACTAATTAGCCAAGAAAAGAATTATAATTGAGTGTGACCTTTTATTTCAAGTGAAACCTACATCCAATCTGCTTTAGAAATAATAGTCATTGTAGATTGTTCTGGAGCTGTCATAAATACTGCAAATGAAAAAAAAAAAGGATTGTAGAAAAATGTTACTTAGAATTGCTTCCAAGATTGCCATTTCCCCCTTCCTCCCTCCCCCCAGGTTGTATGTAAGACAAAATGGTAACTGGAAATTAAATTGGGTTTTTGTTGCAACCTAGATATTTTGGTCAAAAAGAGGGGGAAAAAAGATGTAATTTAGAGTGGTTGTGTAGGTGTTTTCACACTGCCCTATTTTGTTTGGCCTTAGATTTTTGTCTATAAAGATCTTATATCATGTGAAATAATACTCCAATTGAGTTGTGATCTTATCAGTATAGGGGCGTCCCCTCTAACAATGCAGATCACAGCCTATCTATGCTTGACCAGTCTGTGTGATTCTTGTCCATGTGTTCCCATATGTTCACAGGTGGTAAACTGAAGGTAAAACATATTAGAAATTTAACCAAGCAGAACCACAGCATCATAGCATCCCTGATTTGGAAGGCACCTTAGAGGTCTGGTCTAATCCCTAATTTAGGAATGACATACCTCTATAGCAGGGGTCTATGGCACGAGGAAGGCTTAAATCAATTTCTTAATCACCTCATTTTATTACTGCCTATATAAAAAGACAGGAAATACCATTTGTATTTAAAATATGTTAAAATCATTTTTAGCTTGAGGACTGTACAAAAACCTGTGGCAGGCTGAATTTGGCCCACTTGCTATAGATGACTGATCCTTGTTCTGTTGTCCTCTAGTCTCCATTTGAAGGCACCCAATGAACAGGGAATTTATATCCCTGTGGAGGCAGCCCATTCCATTTTCTACTACTTTAATTATCAGGAAGTTCTTCCTTATTTGGGTCTGAAATCTGTCTCTCTAATTTTTACCCATTGGCTTTGGTGCTCCTCTTTTCAGAGCCATGCTGAATCAATCCAGTCCTTATATTTCATAGCCCCATAAGATATTTTGGTCTGGAACACTTCTTTTTGTTTGTATGACTCTTAACCACAGAAGAGCTTCAGATCTCAAAATTCTATTCTCCAATTACTACCATCTTCACAAAGATGGTAGAGTTGCTGGGGATCAGGGACTATTTCTACATCAGTTTGTAAAATTACTTTTCTTAGTACCACATGCAAATAGATGCCTAATAAATGCTTCTGATGGTGAAGATTTATTTATTGGTAATCACATGAATTAATTAGCCCTACTAGAAAATGAATTCATTAACTCAGTATTTTCTCCCTCGTAGCTGTATATGTAAAAAAATTCATATATAGAATTGATTTTTCTGTGACAATAAGAATTTAAGAATATCTGCCTACATGAAATCTAGCAGCTATTCAGTGAATTATTATCTGAGGCAACAATTCCGATAACTCTTGGCCCTCAATAGGGTGCATTTTTCATGAACAGAGTTTCAATCCTAGGTTTTCTAGTCAATTTCTTATTTTGTTTGTGTAGACACAAGAATCTCACTCTTTTGACCCAGGCTTAGTGTCATATAGTGTTGCTAATCACATCATAAAAGCCATGCTAACAAACTGTTTGTTAATATCACTGAGAAGAATTTGAAAGTTGGTTTCAAGTTATCATTGTTGAGAAAAATGTCAGTAACACTGTACTTTAAATGATTCACATATAGTTGTCAGTGATTTATGATCATATTTTGTTGCCAGAGGGTACATTTTATGGCTTAAGAAATAGAAAACATGCTAATATGGTGCCAATTAGCGAAACACATACAGATATCCAGATGTTCATTATCTTAGAGAAAAAGCAGCTAAATGGTGGACTGAGTATTTCAGTTATAGGATGGATAAGTGAGATATCGTGCTGAAATAGAATAAAAAATTCAAGAATTCTTAATTCTTTACTTCAACCAAATACCTAGCCCCTGAATTTTCCTGGTTGGAAGAACATGTCACAAACTACAAAAAAGAGTTCATTTCACTGAGGAAATATTTGCTAATGCTTAATTTAAAATTCTTGGGAAGGCCTTTTACATTGGTAAATTTCAAATAGTGGACCAATATTCAAATATTAATTCATTGCAATATCTCAAAGATTGAGTCAATCTTCCTTAATTTTATGCCAGTTCCTGACTTGTGTGATCTGTGAGAAGTCACTTAATTACTCTGTGCCTCAGTTTTTCCATCTCTACAACGGGGATACTCTACTCTCTTCTCTTCTTTCCTCTCTCTGGAATCTCATGGGAATGTTGTGAAGATTGGAGATTGACACACTATATGGGAAGATTCATGAATCCAAAGAAAAATGAATTATAAAGTATAGGTACAATTTTTTGGTTGTTGCTTATATTCCCAGCTGACAGATAAGGAGTTGCTAAGTAGACACCATCTCCATAGCTGAGGGGAAGAGAGTATCTAAAATAATATGCCACAGTTATTCTTTTATTTGCACAGCAACATATATATTTGATCAGTAATAAACTTCTGCTGAATGTTGAATGAATATTAGATATAATATTTTCAATCCTATGTCTGATACTGAAGTTTATTTCCCCCCTGTAACCATCTTCTAATTTCCCCCATATAGCTCAGTATAGGCAAATGAAAAGGGGATCATTGGGAGCTCTGACAATGAGCCAATTAATGAAGCGACAGCTGGAACATCAGTCTAGCGCCCCTCACAACATCAGCAACTGGGACACTGGTGGGTCAAGCTTTTTTTTCCTTCTTTCCCTTCCCTCACTCAGCTAACATCACTTTTGGTATCATCCCCTGTCCTTTATAAGTAATATATCTTTCCTGTCCTTCTATTTAGGCAGTAATAAAATAAGGTGATTATGAAATCTATTTAAACTTTCCTAGAGTCCTAGAGCCACACATCTTTCTTTTTGAGGGGCTCAAATTTGTTCTCACAAAGGCCAAGTGGTTTAAATATCCCATTTTGTGATGTTACAAAAAAAGAAAGGCTTGTGTCACCCATAGTCCATTTTCCATTTGTCACCAACATTCATCACTGGCCTGTAGGTTTATGGTTGGTCAGCAAGATCACCAGGTTGCAGCAATGTGCCCTCATTCTCATATGATTTACTTGTATCTCATCCCAATCTGTGACTGTCATGCCACATAAATCAGCATAAAGCCTGGGAATGTTATTTAAGTGGTAAATTTTGAACAGGGAACAGGTGCTCAGGTGTCTATTTAAAGCAGCACAAAGTCAGGTATCAATATACCTTTGAGTTTTTTTTTTTTTACCAGTTCCTAGGGTCCTGTGCCTCAATTTCACCATTTCTACAATGAGGACAATAATATGTCACTCTACTGCCTTCAACCCCTATATTCTAAAATGTTGCTGTCTTGAACCATTGCTACAACCTGTGCTAGGAAATGTCTTCTTTTTCCTTTTTGTAATAATGAAGATGATAATGATAATGATAATTATTATTGACATTTAAACAGTTCTTTAAGGTTTGCAGAATACTTTACATGCAAGAGCTTATTTTAGCCTTACAGCTATCGATGAGATAAATGTTATTGGAATGATTATCCCTCTTTTACAAGTGAGGAAACTGAGGCTCATATAACTAATAAATACCAGAGATGAGACTTGAACCCCAGTTTCTCCTGAATCCATGTCCAGCATGTTTACCACTATATCATGTTGCTTAGGCCATGTATAATTCTGTGAATTATCAATTTGGCATTTGTGGGCCATCATTTGCATCAGGCTACTTTAAAATAATAGCTCGATATTTGTAGTACTTAAGGTTTACAAAGCACTGTCCTCATAACAAGCTTGTGAGTTAGGCTTTGCAAGTATTATCATCTCCATTTTACAGCTGTGGAAACTGAAGCTCAGGTAGCTAAGTGGCTCGCCCAGGATCTCACGGCTAGTTAAGTGTCAGAGCCAGAATCTGATCCCAGATCTTCTGACTCTAAATTGAGCACTCATTCTACTACTAAATTGTGCTGCTCACCTGATATTGATCATTGTTGTTTTGACTCTAATTACTTTGAGCTTGTTGTTTGTTTTTAACATTTTTCCTTACGATCAGAGATTTTGCATTTTTACAAAAACAAACACTTGACATTTATTCTGCCAGTCTTGTCCCAGAACAGAAAGTTGACTTAGATACTTCATACTACTTTCTCCCATATTTTTCCTCCTATTTTTGGGATAGGACCCACTGATGGGATGCTAATATTCTCAGTGTATATCAGCTCTTAGATCATAATGAATTGGGATGGTATATATCACTGAATGCCACAGAAAATCTTCTAGATGAAGAGAAAGGTTTATTATTTCAGATGAGGGATTGGCTAGATGACCTCTAAGGACTCATCAAAATATGAGATTCCAGGATTTTCATATTAGCCAGTAGTTTCAGTGTTCTTCCTGTCTCTCTCCCTTTCCTTCAAGCCTTCACAAGAATTCAAGTGTCCTAAGTTTAATATTTGCTATCCCCTTGGTATAAATTAATCCTGAGACATATAGTAAAGGAGAGGAGGAAAAATCATGCAACATGGATAATCTACAAACTATTATTAGCTCCCGAATAAATCAAGAGATGACTGTCTCAAGGTTTTTTCCCCCCTTTATATATGAAAAGGATTGACTGAGGCACGTTCACCGTTATTTTTGCAATAAATCTAAATAGAAGAAATGCCTGTAATGGTAGTTCTTACTTGATCCATTGTATTTATAACTAAACTTATGGTCCCTGTGAAGTAGATACTTTGACTATGAGGATTCTGTTTTTCCAAGACGCATCAGTTCCTCAATTATCTTCCTACCTCTCAGAATTCTTTAGTAAATGTCTCAGCATAGGTCACCTCTCTTAGTGTTTACATGAATGCTTGAATTTGACTGATTTTTTTAATGATGAAAAATTTAATATAAACAATCTTTGAATTTACATGATACCAAATAGGCTATCTAGCAGATTTTTTTTTTTAATGTTTCATTTCACACTCCCTGCTCAGGGTCTATTTGAGTTTTCTTCTTGAATTCTGGGAAGCTATTTTTCCATTTTCTAAGCTCTCAAATTATCATTCTGTAAGAATTCTGTCTCTACATTCTCATTGTGAGCAAACCCTTATAAAGGAGTCAGCATGGTACAGAGGAAAGAGCATCAGACTTGGATTCAGAACACCTGTGCTCAAGTCCTGGCTCTATGACTTACCAGCCACGTGAACTTGGCTGCTTTAGGTGTTTACTTTCCTTATACGTAAAGTGAACAGGCTGGACAAAGTGATTTCTAAGGTCCCTCCTAACATTTTGTGATTCTTTCCTAGTGATTAAGTTACTAGCTCATTCACAGATGCAAAGCATCAAATTAAATATTGCTTTCTTTTTTCCCTTTCAATTCAACATTCATTAAATACCTACTATGCACAGAGTATACTATGCTGGGCATCAGATAGGTGACAGGATGCAAATTTTAGATAATACATGGTCCTTATTACCTGTGTGAACTTTGATAATAATACCTAACATTTATATAATGCCTACTATGTGCCAGACACTGTGCTAAGCGCTTTACAAATATTACCTTATTTTTTCATCACAGTAAAACTATTTATTGTGCTATTATTATCCCCATTTTACAGATGAGGAAACTGAGGTATAGGCTTAAGTGAGTTGTCTAGGGTCACTCAGTAAGTGTCTAAGGCTAGATTTGAACTTAGGTCTTCCTAATTCTAGCTCTGTCCACTGTGCTACCTATCTGGGTGCAGGGTACAGGGTGTCCTATGCTAGGCATTGGGGGAAGGGCAGCAGTGGAAAGGCATGGTGACAGGGCACATTAGGGGAGTATACAATTTAGTAGTTAAAGATATGTCAGCTTCATGGAACAAATCTCTATTCAAAATTTTACTTATTTCTAAAAGAACCCATTTAACATCCACAAGGGCAAGTGAAATTAAAAACAAACTAACCTAACAAAGCAGATATTCTTAGTTTCATAACTTCAGGAAACCTGGGACCTATATGGTTAACAAAAGTAGAAGTAACTGCCAAGTAAGGAGCTGGGAGGATTATAGATCCAGCAGAGGGCAGCAGAGAACCACTCCTGGGTCTGGTTAATGGGCAAGCAGCACCACTGTAAAAATACCTGGAATGAGAGGTCTAGGAAAAGAAAATGCAGAAACCCTAGGGAGTCCAGCAAGTGAGGGAAGTAAAATGTCAAGTGGACAAAGTCAAGAGGGAGAAATACAGAGTTTTAAATTGGTTAGGCAGTAGGCAGACATAATAGTGTACAAATACAGAAAGAGACAATGAGAAATGACAAGTTCCTGCAGGTCTGGTTGTCTTTTTACATCCAGCAGGGCTTTTGAGGGGTTGTCTCCCCCTTCCGTTCTCTAAAGAGGCATATCTGAGCTTCCCTGTTGCCAGGCAGGCATTTGACATCTGGCACAGATACTGATTGATTCACTTTAGTTAGTCATTTTCAAAATGCTTCATCTCTGCTTATCTGGGTGACTTGCTTCTTTGCCTCATCATTCCTCCCAAACAGATGTTTCTGAAGCATCAGTCTTCCTTCCTCACTTTACTGTTGGTTAGATACACATCATCTCTCTAATGCCAATTCACATGTGTTTTTGGGCCATTTCCCCTCACTTTCTTTCTGGTCAAAACCTTAATTTAATTGATTTTAAGTTTTTCTGGGGTGCGTGTGTGTGTGTAAAATATTTCTTCCTGAGCCTGACATTGGTGCTTCATTCCATATTAGAAGATCTTAAATTTGAAATTTTTTTCAAAGACAGAATTCTTTGATGTTGCCAGGTGGTCTCTTTTTGATGGATTTAATTTGCATGCTAATGATCAGTTGATAGCTAAACACAAACTTTCCCTTTCCCTAACATCCTAGGCATTTCCTTAAAAAATTTTCAACAGACTCACCAAACAATTATTAGTTTATGTCTTCATGTTGTAAACCATGCTATATCACTGGAGACTGAAATGCTCTGTTTATCCACAGAACAGATACAGCCTGGGAAGCGTCAGTGTAATGTGCCAATGTGCCTAAACCCTGAACTGGAGGGACCACCGCTAAGAATGAGAGGTTAGTTTGGTTTCTGCTTTTGCCTCCTGAGATCACCACCAAGTTGGTTTCACCATTTCTTGCTGTTTGTGGTCATGTAGCTGGGTTCCAAGTGGTGCCATGTCACTAACTTTCTCTATGAAAGTCAGTCTACCATGTCCAGATAGACATGACTTATTCTCACTTCAAGATGAGGGAGAAGGTTACTGCAGTTCTATACCTACATTCCATTTCAGACAGATGGCAGAGTATTTCCTGCACTCCTCATTTTCCAAAGGAACAAGGACAGGCTGATTTTCAGTCTCCGTTTGCATGTCTTTGTAGGTTGGTAGCAATTCTAGTCCTTCCAGGACCCTCTCACGTCCTCTTTTTCTCATTTGTTGACCCCAAACAAACCCCTATGAACAGAATCCTAGATCCTAGCGTCTGACATTCATAGCTAAATTTAGTTGTCTTTTTCCATTCAAATGAATTTAACACATATTTATTAAATACCTATTGTGCTAGGTCATATGGAAGACACAGAAAGTCCTTTGCCCTCATGGAACTTACAGTTTAGTAGATATGCAAATAACTATAACAAATAATATAACAATTGCATTATTTTCCATGTACAAAATAAAGTGCTATGTGATGTCTAAGGTTGTTATAAACAGCCAGGGTGGGGGCAGGATCCTAAATCTGATAGCCAGAGTTAATAGCTACAAAGGTATTTGAATGATGATTATGGAAATCAGATTTCTTTCACTGGCAAATAGAAGACCTCATTGCTAGAAACTTAAGTTTCTGGGATTGTTCTATACATTGGGGTATCAGACTTCACTATTCCTAGAACATTTGTTTTTAAAACTTTGGGTTCCAAATTTTTCTCCCTTCCTCCCTCCCTACCCACCTTCATTAAGAAGGCAAGCAGCTCGATACGGGTTATGCATGTGTAGTCATGTTGTGGAAAACTAACTATATTTCCCTTCATCCTATTCTGCCCCCTGTTTATTCTATTCTCTCTTTTGACCCTGTCCCTCCTGACCCTGCTTCTGATTACCCCCTCCCCCAATCTGCCCTCTCCTCTATCATCCCCCTGCTCTCTTTTGACTATTCCTAGAAGATAATGACATTATCACCAAGACTGACAGTGGTCTTTGCTTTACTCCCTAATTTTGACTTAGGGTTTCTGCAGTGGCCCCTTTACCACTGCTAATACTCAGAACCTTACTTAAGATATATAAAAAATGGAACTTGTTAGGTAGTGAATCTGAGATCATACCAGCAATTAGAAGAGCAGGATTCTGATATTGTGTCAGTTTTAGTGGTCACTGGGATGCTATAGCAAAGAGTTTATCAGTTTTTCTCTTTTTTGCTCCTCTCCTGGCTCTCTCTATTCCCCCTCCCTCCATAATTTGCCTTCCCCATTGCACTCATTGTTTCTAGAATTGTACTGGCTGCTAATATCATTTGATGCAACAAGGGCTAATGTGTAATGGCTGATGCTTCTCATAATTTCTGCATTCTAGCAGCAATGTACTGTGGGTTCTGCACTGCCAGAAATCAAGATAAAACTACTTTATGCATATGAGGAAGGCATTTTGATGATATTGTTGTCTAAAATGCTTATTTCTTTAGAGAGAGCATTTTATGCTCTTAAGTTACAGTAGAAAGAATGATGCACTCTGTGACCTGCAGCAGATTAGTGGCAAAATTACCAAAATGATTTTGAATTTGCCCCTTGTTATTGAACTTTTCATCGTGTTGGCTATAGTACTATGGCTTTATATTATAGTTGGCTATTACTGTTGGCAAAAGATTTAAGGACTTTGCGCCAGAGACCCTGCTATATCTATGTTTACACATCACCAGACATCCAAGTATTTGGAAACTTCTAGGTGATTGACTAAATTTCTCACTTTTGACTCAGACACAATTTGTGATTGTTCAAGAAGTATTAGCATAGAATCAAGATCTTTCATTTGTACTTTACTACCATTCTTGCTCTTTTTTGAGATAAACTAATGACATCACGCCATTTAACATCAACCATTTTTTCATTCTGGTCAACTCTCTCTTTTTTTTGGTACTCATAACTTATTCACACTTTTGCTTCAAGCTCTGGAATTCTTCTAGTTGAAACAACTTTCTCTTATCAGACCATTTTAAGATCGTTTGGCAATAGTCTTGTTTTATAATAAGGGTTAAATTAAATTTTGAGGAGTGTGAGGATTTTTACTAAATCACAACTTATCAAACTCAGTAGTAAAACTGGTGTGTAGTCTTGGGAGCAGAACAAATGCCATTAAAAGCATTCTTCTGTATCTTTCTTTTGACTTTGGGTCTCTTGTTTCATGTGAATGTGTGTAGTAGTCTAAGGAATACTAAATAATGTGTTTAGTCTATAGAATGTGTTTAGTGGTCTAGACTACACATATACAAAACAGCCTGTAATATAGTCTTGAACCAGATGCCATTACTCTTGCTTTTCCATGGAGCTGTGCTATATTCTTTTTTTTCCTTCAGATTAAGACATACTCCATTTGGTCTCTGTTCCCAAATTCTTTTCTAATCCCTTTGAAAATACAATTCTGTAGGATGTCACTCTCCTCTATGGAGAAAGATCATATAATCTTCCATAATTTTTGCTCTGTTCTATGGCACATACTGGTAACTTACTGATTTTCAAGACTCTTTAATGACTCTCATGGTTTTCAATTTTTCCCATTAAAGAATTTGAATACTCTGCTATTATTCTGGTAACTATGATGTTTTCTTTGGGCTATCAGTTTGGGTTGCTCCTTGGGGGTGGTTCTTTCCACCCATCCACTAGATGTTTTTCCAGCACCAAATGGTTGTCATAGCTTTCTGTACTCCTTGTGTGTGTAGATATTGCCAATTTCATATTTATGATGCTAACTTTTCATTGAAGACACAAAAATCTGGGGATTACACAGGGTGAAGGAAACTTGGCCAAGGGTGTCAACTCTCTGGATAGTGCTTTAAACTCAAATTCATATTTCATTCACAAATGCTTTGGTGAACAAATGAAGAGTATCTTAGTTCTGGGGAGATATGGTTCTATTTATTAATATACAGAACTGTGCTTTTTTATACTGGATCTCTGTCCTAATGTAGATCTTTTATATTGCTCCTATATCTACCACAAAACAGCAAGATTTCTGTGTGGGAGCTTGATATGATATTTGGGTGTGTTCTTTCACCTTGCTGAGAAATCTAGGTCCATAGCTGATGCATAGGTCTCACAAACAGATTTACCCTTTTTATGGGCTCACCATTGTCTTTTCCCCCATTAGCTCACAACTATACTTAGGTGTTTACGGGGCTGAGAAAGAAGGGACAATGGTAAAACAGATAGGCACCTAGCTCATGGTGCTTTGCAAGGAAAACCAAACAAGATAACAGTTTAAAAAATGAATAGTAATGCTGAAATATTTTTTTTCAAAATGCAATTTTGGGGAATAGGAAGGAAGAAAATCTGGTTCTATCTCTGTGATACTTGGGGATTTTTGAGGATGAGAAATAGTCCATTGTTGGGCCGTCATGAGCCAACCTCTCTTCATCAGTTGTTTCTTTACTGTGTACTCAGGTGCTACTAAATCCAGTCTGTTGTCAGCGCCCAGCATAGTCAGCATGTTCGTACCTGCACCAGAAGAATTCACTGATGAACAGCCCACGATGATGACTGACAAGTAAGCTTATACAATATTTTCTTCACAATGTTTTCAGAATTAAATTTACTCCACCATAGGTACAAGAAGTGCCAGAAAAAGAATAATATATATATGTATGTGTGTGTATATGTATGTATATATATATATATATATATAAACACAAATATGTGTGTGTATGTATAAAACTCACAAATTTTAAAAAAGGAACCATGATGCCTGAATGAATGCAATGATTGTATTGGTAGTCATCAGAATTCATCTGGGAGGTTCAGAAAAATCCTACTGCATGGACAACTTTTATTTCTTCCTTAACATTTTTAGATTTTATTGTTATAAAAGCATTTATAACTATATCCATTCAAGAGGCAGTGGTATGATGGAAAAGGGCATTGGTCTTAGCCTGGAGACCTGGGTGGGAATCTTTACAGAATAGTTCTATGACCTTGGGTAATTTACTTCCCCTCTCTGGGCTTTAGTTTCCTTAGCTGGAAGATAATCTCAGAGGTTCCTTCCAGTTCCAACATTCTTTATTGTGTCTTAAGGTTTCTTCCAGCTCAATCTTTCCATATACGTTAGAAAATTCTGTCTTTTGACGTCTTTTATGTTGCTAACATTCTACGTTTTATGCTCTAAGATCTCTTCCAAGTCAAGAGTTATGCATTCTGACATTCTCCCTTTTAAGTTCCTTTTTAGATCTAACACTCTGAAATTCTCAGTTTTTGAGCTAATGTAGAAAATTGCTAATGTCTTTTTGTAGCATGGAGGTAACTGGGTTCTCAGAGATTATGGCTGCAGAGCACAAAATCATGCAGGCTGTACCAATCTGGAAAAACTTCCAGTACCGTACCTGTGAAGATTTTAATTGTATTAGAAAAGTCTGTCACCAGAAGTTTCCTTGCTAAGTGATGGATTGGTAATCCATGAAACAAGTATGCTATCATTTTCTGCTTTCATGTTAAGGTTGTTGGATTGGCAGATAAAGAGAGCAGGGGATGCTAAGACTCACATAGTACTTAGATTGTCTACAAACATTAATTTAACTATAGATATTCTTAATTTGAGATTATGTCCAGTAATCAGTGAGTTGATTGATACATGAATGGAGGAACAGATTCACGTTAATATTCTTGATATAAATGAAGCCGAAAAAAACATAAAGAAGTTGCATCTAAATGGAAGGACAACTCACTTGTTCTCTTTGAAAAGGTGAATAAAGAAGTTGGCAAAATTAATTTTACCATGAAGCCAAAGGTAACAATAAATATTTTATGGTATACTTGGTCATCTTGTCTTCTGTTATTTATAAACATAAGCAAAGATAACCATGGTGATGATTCTAGGTTTTGTGTCAACATCTCTTGTAGAAAATGAAAAAGGAGGAAAAATTTATGAATAACTTAAGAAAATTCTCTAAATTAAGTCAACATATAACTTGAAACTAAATTACTTTAATGAAAAAGAGAGAATAAGAGAGGGCAGCAAAAACTGTAGGCAAACATAATTAGGGATTAGGAAATGAAAGAAACAAAAGCTTTGAGAGTACTTAGAAGTTTCATGTCTGTACTTCATTTTATTTCATTTTTAAAAACATTTTTACTGACATCTCTTGGTGTTTTTTTCCTCACCTGCATTTCCCGATGTATTTCTCTCCACTCTCACTCCTCCTTCCCAAAAAGCCATCCCTTGTAACAAAGAATAAAAAGGAGAAAAGGAAATTAAGTAGTACTAACCTACATGTAAAAAAAATCTGGCATTATATATGCTGCTCCATACCCATAGTCCTCCACCTATGCAAAGAAGTGGGGAGAAGCCTTTTCACATCTTGTCTTTGGGACCCAACTTGGTCATTAATATTTCACAGCATTCAGTCTTCTCATGTTTCATTTTAACAGTACAGTAATATCCAATTACATTCATCTACCATAACTTGTTTAGTCATTCCCTAATCAATAGGCATCTAATTTGTTTCTAATTCTTTGCTACTACAGAAAGTGCTGATCTAAATACTTCCATATATACGGAATATTTTATTTTATCATTGACTTTCTTGGGATATATGCCCAGTCTAGAAATGGAAACTAAGTCGAATGGACATTGTTGTAATTTTGTTTGAAAAATTCCAAAATGTTTTCTAGGGAAGGTGAAATTTGAACTGAATCTTGAAGGAAGCCAGGGAAACCAAAGAGGTGGAGGTGAGGGGCAGAGCATCCCAGGTATGAGAGATATCCAGTGCAAACATGGGGAGATGGGAAATGGAGAGTGTTGTTTTTTGAGGAACTGCAAGTAGGTAGAGCATATGAAGGGGAGCAAAGTATATGTAAGAAGATACTAAATTACTTTATGCAGAGCTTTAAATGACAAATAGAGAAGTTTATATTTGGTCCTGGAGCTCATTGAGTTGGGGTTGGCGTAGGGAAGTGGGACTGTGATATGGTCAGACCTACACTGTAGAAAAAACATTTTGGCAGCTGAGTAGAGTATATATTGGAGTGTGGAGATGAGTCAGGAAGACTAGTTGGAAGTCTATTGTGGTAGTCCAGGAGAAAGACAATGAGGGCTTGAACTAGTGTGGTAGCTGTGTGAGTGGAGGGAATGTGACATAGAGAGAAGTTATGAAGATGGAAATGACCTGGATTTGGCAACAGACTGGATTTGCGGTATGAGAGAGTAAGAAGGGGAAGATGACACTGAAGTTATAAACCTACGTTAATGAGAGGATGGTGTCTTTTTTGAGAGTAATAAAGAAAATGGAAATGGCAGGGAGGGATTTGGGGAAAAGATAATAAGTTATGTTAAGGACATGTTGAGTTTGAGATGTATATGGGATATCCACTTTGAAATGTCCAGGAGGCAGTTGGTGACATATAAGTCATTGTTCAGTTGCTCAGTTGTGCCCAGCACTCTAACCACTGAACCACCTAGCTGCCCCCATGTATATATATGTGTATGTAGGTATGCATGCATGCAAGTAATTGACTATTTGTGCATATATGCATATATATACATACACATATGTGTGTGTGTTTATGTATGTATTTTACATATACATACACATACACTCACATATCTGTGAACAATCAGTCAATCATCAAGCATATATTAATCACTTGCCTTCTGCCAAGAGCTATGTGCTAGGATTACAAAGAGAAAGAGAAAGCTAAAATATCCCTACCCTCAGTGAGCTTGCATTCACTTATTTCAATGTGTCCCTGTCTATTGGCTCATTCCCTTTTGTCAGTAATCATGCCCATGTCTCCCCCATCCTGAAAAAAAACTTACTTGATCCTTACATCCTCACTATCTATAGTCCTATATCTCTTCTGCCCTAAGTGGCTAAATTCCTCAAAAAGCCCATCTATAATCGATGCCTCCACTTTTTTCTCCCCTTACTCTCTTAAAATCTGTCTTCTGACTTTATCATTCAAAACTACTCTCTCCAAAGTTACTAATGATCTCTTAGTTTCCAAATTCAATGGTCTTTTCTTAGTCTTCATTCTTGACCCTTCTTGAGCCTTTGACACTGTTGATAACTCCTTCCTCTTTGATACTCTTTTCTCTCTAGGTTTTCAGTACATCACTCCCTCCTGGTTCTCCTATGTATCTGACCACTCCTTCTCAGTCTCCTTTGCTGGATCCTCATTCAGATCATACCTTCTAACTGTAGGTGTTCCTCAGGTTTCTGTCCTGGGTTGTCTTCTCTTTTCCCTCACTTTACTTAGTGATCTCATTAGCTCCCATTGATTTAATTATCATCTCTATCCTGATGATTCTCAAGTCTACCTATCCTGCCTCAAACTTTCTGCTGACCTATACTCTCAACTCTAATTCCTTTTTAGACATCTCAAACAAGGATGTTCAGTAGACATTTTAAACTAAACCTATCCAAAATAGAGCTCATTATCTTTCCCCCAAACCCACCTCCCCTCTTACCTTCCCAATTACTAGAGAGGGCAACGCCATCCTCTCTGTTCCTCAGGCTCAGAGTCTATGAATTATCCTCAACTCTCTAAACCTCTACCCGCCCCCCAGTATCCAATCTGTTGCCAAGACTTAATCGATTTCATCTTTGCAACATTTCTCCAATATGCCCCCTTCCCTCCTCTGACACCACTGTGCAGAAACTCATGACCTCATGCCTGGACTGTTTACAATAGCCTGCTGGTGATTCTGCCTGCCTCAGATCTCTTCCCACTCCAATCCATCCTCCATCCAGCCATCAAAGTAATTTTCCTAATGTTCAGGTCTGCTCATGATGTCCCCTATTCAATAAACTCCAGTGGCTCCCTATCATCTCTAAGATAAATACAAAATGCTGTTTTCTGCCTTCATAACCAAGCTTCCTCTAACACCTTGCTCCCTGCCATGTACTCTTCTATCCAGTGACACTGGCCTCCTGGCTGTCCCATGGACAAGACACTCTATCTTACAGCTTTAAGCATTTTTTTTCTGGCTGTTCCCCATGCCTAGAATGCTGTCTCTCCTCAACTCCACCTAGTAACTTCCCTGCCTTCCTTTGAATTCAAATTAAAATCCCATCTTTTACAGGAAGATTTTCTTAACCTGTCTTAATTCTAGTGCCTTCCCTCTGATAATTATTTTCCATCGATCCTGTTTATAACTTGCTGTGTATATAGTTGTTTGCAAGTTGTCTCCCAGCTCATTAAATTGCAAGCTCCTTGAGGGCAGGGACTATCTTTTGACTCTCTTTGTATCCTCAGCATTTAGCACAGTTCCTGGCACATTGTAGGCACCTACTAAATGTTTATTTATTGATTGATTCTAATGTGAAAGAGCATGTATAAACACATTTTATATACACAAAGTAGATACAAGGTAACTTTAGAAGGGAAAATACTAGCAGCTAGTGGGATCAGGAAAATGTCTTTGACTTCCCTACAGAAAATGGTGCTTTAGATGAGTCTTGAAGGAAGCCAGAGATTCTAAAAGCAGAGGTAAGGAGGGGTGGCATTCTATGCATAAGAGGCAGTCAGTGAAAGGGCGCACATGCTGCTCCATCT